TTGCTAGACTTCACCAACAACCTGAGTGTAAATGAGTGATTTCAACATACTGTTTTTTGTTTTTGTTCCTTATGTTTAAGGTAATTTGAGCTATGAGAGAAAAATGGAGGAACCTGTCTGTGTTGTATTTGATACATTTACAACTCCTGACTTGAAAGCATTTGCTATTCATCTTACCTACATAACACACACACAGACACACACATTTTATTTTAAATATTTGAAATAATATTGGTATTTCATTACCTGTTACATTCACTTAACTGTTACAAATGCATTGTATTTGTTATAATAGTTTGAAAACATTACCAAAGCGAGTAAACATTAATTATTATTAACAATAACAATATTTCAGTAATTTTCTTAGTGAAGCTACCTTCAGTAAAGCACTTCAGTCCCACAATACTTTCATTTAAAATATCTAGTTCATAATAAAAAGAGTACATGTCAAATACTAGTATAATCTTGTTACAGGGTACATATTCTTTTTTCATTTCACATTTCTATTCAGGTGCTGTTATTGTTTTTTACCAAAAGACATTCAACCATTCTATAAGCCTATTAATGGGTTACTATTATAGGCTCCCTGCTGTAGCAAGTTAGATTTAATTGAAGTTCAAATGAAATCAGTTTTGTATGCGGTGGATGTTTAAATATTTGAATAAATAATTCAGTTAATAAATGTGTGGATTTAGATTTTTTACTCAGTCAATGTTAGGACAGCATAGTCATTTGTGTATACATATATTTTGTTCAAAAGAACTGAAAATATTTGATACATCTTTTATATGTTTAAATAGTTACAACATAGAATTTGCATTCATCACAGGTTAAAACATAATTTTGTAAACTGCAATCAGTATATGAGTTTCAACAACAACAAAAAAGCATTTCTGAAATATAACATGACACGGGCCAAGGAACATTAATGATAGATCTAGTTCATTGTTCATTAGTTGTTTGAGTTCAATATACGTATATAATTTATCATATCATTTGTTAATGTTGGATTATGCTCTGACATTAGGTCACATGGGAAGTCCTTGAACACACATTCTTCAAGGCAGACTTGAACTTTCTCCAGGTCCACATGGTGCAAACAATCTCTGCCTCCCTACAGATGAGGGACTGCATGCAACATGGAGGGACATCCGTGAGGTGATCGTAAGTCGTGGACTTGGTGGACTCTGTGGTTGTTCCAAGTCATTACAACCTCATTAAGTTCTTTCTAGGAGGCAAATAATATTAAGTTAGATTGTATAAAAATATTACTGAGCAATCCTTTATCTCATAATGTGTCAGTTACCTGGATTGTTTGAAGAAAGCAAAACTGGATCAAGGAGTTGTCCAAGAAGCTGTCTGAGAAGTAGCCATCTCGTTTCAATAGGTCTATCCAAAACTGGACAAAATCAGCCACCATCGTTCAATCTGCTGATTTCCAGTGCTTGGGTCAAAGGTAATAAAAGTCATCATTTCTTAAATACTTTTTATTTTATAATCATGACATAACTTTTTTTTATCAAAGATATGTCTTAATTTCATTCATTTTATTTTTTTTTTTACTGGTGGAATTGGACTTCTATAGGACATTGTCAAATAAAGCCACTGCTCTTGTCTGGCCTTTGAGACTGTCGAGGTCAAGCAGCTCTTCTGTAATGTTCATGTTATCATCAACTCCTCCCAAAGAAATGAGTGCCTGGGCAGTGTCAGATGTATCTGTGTATCACTCTTATCTCTTAATGTCTGAAGCAGTGATGGGAATTCCAGGTTCTTTTTAGTGAGCCAGATCATTTGGCTCAGCTCACCAAGAAGAGCCAGCTCTTTCATCTCCCAAATGGCACTTTATTTTACCACTTATACCTTTTATAATTCAGCCAAATTTAGCGCTATTTTGTATTGTATGTGTACACATATATCACTTAAATTATTCAATACATCCTGTTAAGGGTTTTTACTGCAGTGCGCAGTCATCTACTGCGTATGGAGGATAAGCAGAACATACTCGAATCAGCTTTAGCCTCTTGGCATATTTATTTAACAATAAAGTGCGGACTGATGTGTTGTCATCTCATCAGAATGGCTCACACAGAACAACTGGCGCTCACTGGGAGCGTGACATCATGTCTTGTATGTACCGTAAATCTTATACAATACAGCAGTACGGCATATCAGTCTACCCTAATACAGGGAGTAAGGGCGCCATCAAATTACAACACTTAAAACATCCTTTGTACTGAAGTATTCAAATAATACATCAATAAATTGCTGTAGATAGTTGTTTTCATTCCATTTAGAGACCCTTGTAACCACCCAGTGAATGCACTAACTTGCTTGTAGAACCACACTGCTACACAAAGCAGAAAGAAACACCTATAAAAACTTAAGCATAGAAATAAAAAAAAAAACGACAGCTATTGACATTTTCAGTTTTTATTTAAGCACACACCCCTAACAAAACAAGAAAAGTACTGAAAGTAAGTATATGAAATACAGGACTCAAGTAAATGTGCATTGTTAATGCCCACCACTGACATCTGGGCAAATAAAACCAACTGCATGCATGGAGCACCAATAGCATGAAGATCATCAGATCATTCTGCCTTGTATTACTTAATACACTTATTAATAAGACACCCTGGCTGCAGAGAGATGCAGTCTACGACAACAGTAGTTGGTGAGCGCTTATATTATTTCACAATATCATTTTGAACGAATAAGGAACAGCACCGTTTAGTTCAGCCTAAAACCTGAGAGCACATTTCCTGCCCTTCCGGGGTTTTCCTGTGACAATATATCTACACTGAAGACAATAGGAGCTTAACAGCCTAAACTAAATCAAAGATTTAACGTTTAGATTTAGATTTAAATTTAACATTTAGATTTAGCATATAGATTTAACATTTTACATTTAGGTGTAACATTTAATATTTGGATTTAACTATTTAAAATATCTCTAAGTTGACAAACATTGTTGTAAATGTGCAAAAAAGTGACCCTCAAAAATTCCTACAAGTTTTTTAAACATTGTTTGAAGCTAAATGTGACAAAATGTTGCTGTTATTCTCAGCGTGAGCCGCTTTACAAACGGCAACCCATAGCTCACGACATTAAAAAACACGCATTACATAGTGCTGCGTAAACGCACGCGCCCCTTGACTGACGTAGGACACAATAGAATTGTCACGAATATCGATACAATGCCAATAATCATACTTTAACAGAAGAATTCATCAATAATGACAGTCAATAGTCATTAATTGAGCAAGATATATAATGGATGAATGAATTTTCCATTTATAGAGTTACAGAGTTACGGAGTCCCCCCCAGCATGAAGCTTGGTAATTCACAGCATAAACTTTGTGTGAATCTCTATAAAAAATATCAGCAGGGAAAAATATGGAGACATCTGCACCAGCTGGCTTAATAAATTAACCTCACCTTATAAGTTTCATGTTCATCTTGCAAACATTTAACAAACAATAACCACGTTAGCATCACTGAGGCTCCTGTAGCTAACAACGGTTAGCATGTGCTAACGGTACACGAACAATGAATAACAAGCATACATCCTTAAAAAGACTAAGTGACTTCCTCTGCTGTCTCTCCACAGACAGTTGGTACAATCCCTCTTTCAGGAACAGTCTTTCAGCCAGTCCAGTGTACTGACCGAGGTTGTGAACACAGTCCGACACGAAGTGGTTCACACACTTCCGGTTTTTCCGATGGACATTGCCTTCAAAAATAAAAATAAATCCAGTGGCTCATACCTATGTAAATTTGTGTTGGGCTGTGCCGCCAATGACTGAACAGTTTGTCTGCTGAAGCCTTTGCCCAGTCATTAGGCTGGCAGGCGGCAGGCCTGAGACTTTAATGGATAAAACTATCAAAAGTTCCCCGTTACCTTTTCCTTATAGGCTTGGTTTATTCTCTCATTTTGGCACTCCCTCACTCTCTCTATTTCTGTTCCCTTCCCCTATCATCCAGGGCCCTATCCCTTCATCCTACCTGTTTGTACTGCTAGTTTCGTCAGCTCAACTTATTGTCCTGCCCTCTCTCCCTGTCTGAGTTGCTGTTCCAACAATATCTCCCTCCAGGGAGCGACCCCAAAAGGGTATGCAGGTGGCAATACTAGATCAGTATCTTTATAAATCAGTACCTTTATAAATCAAGACCTTTATAAATCAGGACCTTTCTGATGTGAAATGAGCAGCAGTAAAGCAGCAGAAATTCAATTCACAACCCAAAAAATGCTGTTTTCTTTATATATATATATATATATACACTCCTGAACAAAATCTTAAGACCGTGAGAAAAATAGTATTCGCATTTCGCGTTGGTGGAACATAACCAGGTTGTAAGTAGAGCTTCAAAATGCCAAAAGAAGAAACAGGAGCAAGAGACAAAACAATAGAGGAGGCCATTTATTGAAAATTGCATTTAAACTCAAACAGGCTGTTCATCAGCTGATCAAAAGTTTAAGACCATAGCCTTAAAAAGTCCAAATTTGTGCAAAAATCTTGCTTTCGTGTCATTTTCTATCAGGCATTCACACTGTCATGACCACCTGATGGCAAAGGCAAAAAGGCTTTCTGTCTTTGAACGTGGCAGGATGTTGAGCTGCACAAGCAAGGCCTCTCGGAACGCACCATCGCTGCCGAGGTTGGACGAAAATTTCTTAATAGGTCCTGAGGGTTATGGGACAAAAATGTCAAGTGGTAGACACAAAAAAATTTCACCTGCGCCGAGCCAGAGGATCCAATGGGCTGTCCGTGAATACACAGGCCGATCCTCGATCCAAATTAAGACCCTTGACTGATGCTGACTGTAGCGCAATAACCATCAGACAACGTCTGCGACAGAAGGGCTTAAAGAGCAAAAAAGGCCACTTCAAAGGCCACTTCTCCTCCCACACCACAAACGTGCCCGTTTGCACTTTGCAAGGGAGCACCAAACATGGGACATTGAAAGGTGGAAGAAAGTTTTATTCTCTGATGAGAAAATGTTTTACCTTGACGGTCCTGATGGCTTCCAACGTTACTGGTATGACAAGGAGATCCCACTGGAGATGTTTTCTAGGCGGCACAGTGGAGGAAGCTCCATCATGATCTGGGGTGCTTTTTCCTTCAATGGAACAATGGAGCTTCAGGTTGTGCAGGGGCATCAAACCGCAGCTGGCTATGTGGAGATGTTGCAGCGGGCATCCCTCTTGACTTAGAGCCCTCGACTTTGTGGTGATCTACTGGGTCTTTCAGCAGGACAACGCTGCAGTTCACAACGCCCGCCTGACGAAGGACTTCTTCCAGGAGAATAACGTTGCTCTATTAGGCCATCCTGCGTGTTCCCCTTATCTAAATCCCATTGAGAACGTTTGGGGATGGATGGCAAGGGAAGTTTACAAAAACAGAGATCAGTTCCAGACCATGGATGCCCTTTGTGAAGCCATCTTCACCACATGGAGCAACATTCCCAACATCCTCCTGGAAACACTTGCATCAAGCATGTCAACGAATTTTTGAAGTTATCAACAACAACGGCGGGGCTTCATTAGTAGTACGGTCAGGGGACTCAATATGTCCACCAGTTAAAGGCTATATTTTCTAAAAGGAAATATTTATCAACATGGTATTTTGGGGTATTATTTAAATGTTTTAAACAATTGTAATAAACAAATCATAGCCACCAGTGAACATTACTAATACATTTTCTCTGTCATTCTTTCATTGTACATATATTCTGTGTTTTGGGCAGAGAGCCATTGTGGATTACCTCTTTACCAATCCAGAGCAAATCTGTTGGGTTCTCAATGGCTATGATGAGTTTCACAGAAAACTCACCAGACAAAAGAAAGAGCAGAGAGAGCTATTGGACCCAGAAAAGCCTCTGCCTGTCGCAGACCTCATCTCTGCGTTGTTAAATCGCCAGCTTCTTCCAGGATGTACTGTGGTGGTCACCTGTCGTGCTCGAGATGTCATTGATTTGGAAGGCTTATCAGATAAAGTGGGGCAGCTGCTGGGGTGGGACTGCCATGAGATCAAGGAGTATGTGCACAACTTCTTTGTAAAAGGTGAAAACATGCCTTTTATACTTACAGTGTGATATTTGTTATTCTGCATAGAGTTAGCTCTGCATTCACTTGGCAATAGACCAATAGACCTTTTTCACAGCAGCCATTTTGACAAGCCACAAGGGGTAAACACAGGTTTTACCAATGATACTAATTAAGCTTCCATGAGTATACGGAACAGATAATATATTTTTTACAAATACGAGTACCATCAGAGTAAAATGCATCAGTATCTGTACTCGTAAACAGCTTTTATATATATATAAAAAACATGTTCTGTAAATAGTTCTTACTCTTGTGATCAAAAACATTGCTCTGAAGCTGTTCTGGCTGTTCTGTTATAAATACAGCAACATCTGATCAACCCAACAGATACAGATACAGATAATGGCATACTTCTCATCCCTAGACAACATTCACGAAAGCAGTCCCCTGACTCTGTTTGACCTGAATAGAACAGAACCTTATGCATGATTGTGCAGGATCCTGTGTTTTTGGAGCTTGAACCATATTTCAAGGAAATCTTGGACTGATTTTGACCATGCAAGTCACTCAGTAAATTTATTCCCAGTGGACCCCTTTAAGACTCCAGGGGGTAGAAGATCCATCTTTAGATCTTTTGCATAATTATAGCGTAATTGTAGTTAGGTTATCAGAATACAAAAAAGCTAGCTCTGAAGCAATTCATTTGGTTATGAAATGGAATTTCCTCATTTTGAAATTGACATTGCACACCCATGTGTGTGTTTTCATTTATTGCAGCTAACCTCTGCTCAGCTTGAAGTTGGGCTGAGCTTTGCTGGGTATTACATAAGATCACTGAACTTAATGCAATAACGAGAATCATAACAGTTGCAACAAAACTAACAGGAGAGCCAGAGTGATATCAATCAACCTCAGTCTGAACTCACCCACAAGTCTACACAGGCAAAATTAGGGGAAAATACTGTGTGGGTCTACCTTACATTTTTGTGGTTTTAAACTATTTTATGTCTCAACTGCAAAGGTAACTCAGCCAGTGGATCTCTTGGAGTGCAGGCAGCGGACCTCCTTCTTATCACGCGACACTTCCTTGCCATGTCATCCCTCCCTGCACTCTGCAACATCTGCTGCATCTGCCTGGAGCATTTACTGGGAGGGAGAGACACAGGTGAAAAAGTGAGAGAAAAAGAAGAAAAAAAGAGTACAGGTGGCAGGAGGAAGAGGAGAAGAGGACAGTAAAGGAGGAAATCATGCACAAACTGTACATCAAGGAGGAAGAAGAGGGAGTGAAGATGGAACAAATGGTAGAACCCAGCTACTTGCTACACAAGCCCAAATACCCTCCACCCTTACACAGGTCTACCTCATTGTTATTGGTGCATTCCTGAGCCGTGACCCTGACAAAAGAGGAAGCAATGACATGCCAAAGACACCGCCACAGAGGTGAAGGCTGAGTAGAGTACCAAACACAGCACCATTTCACACCACCGACACAACTGTGACGGGCTAGTGTTATGGTTGAACCCAGGAACAGACACACAGACAGGATAAGGGTTTTAAGGGGCTTTATTTAACACACACTGGGGGAAATGAGGGGTGGCCTCGGCAGGAATGGGCAGGAGAAACGGCAGGGAGACCGGAGACACGGAAGCACTGGAGAGCCGACTCTGGGAACCGAACTGCACGGGAGGCTGGTGAACTGGCAGAGAGACCGAAGACATGGAGGCACTGGAAAGCTGACTCTGGAACCTGAACTGCACGGGAAGGATCCCTTGAACTCTGGAGATATGGAGCTCTGACGGGAGAGCAGGTACAGGAAAATCACAAGGAGCAAGCTACTCACTGAGAGGAGGCACAAGAGTACCACCAAGTCTGCTGAAAAACAATCTGGCGCCGAAAGAAAGGAAGACCGGGGTTCTTGAGGGCTGAGACTAATGAGTAGATGAAGAGCAGGTGAGACAACGCACAGGTGAGGTGAATGGAGACCGCACCTTCATTAGACACACACAGTGAAGGAGGAGGAGCAAAGGGAGCAAGAGAGGAGCAGAGCCATGACAACGACATTCATAACATATAGTTTTACTTTCAGTACAGTTTGATTGTACTGAATTCAGAGGACTCCTAGCTGTTCAATGCAGTTTACTATTTTACTCAAAGGGAGAAGTGAAACCCTCTCAAAGGAGTTGTAAGGTGTTTCAATTTAGTTTCACATGACCAATGAGGACCAATTGATTAAATACAAATGAATGAATTTGTTTTCCGACATGATCAGTGCTGTCAAGGTGTTCAGTGCAAAACTGTCATTGTACATTCAGCAAGTGAAAAACAAAAGATTTCAGCACTTGTCTCAAAGATGCTTGACAGTCACACAGGTGCAGCCAGCGTTTTAAATGTATCCAAGTATTGTGACCTCTTATCAAGGCTTGGACATAAGTTTGCTGACAGATTCAGTGACTTTGAGAAACTTGAGCCCTGTGTGACATTTATGGCCAACCCTTTCATGGATGTGGACATAAGTGAGATTTCACGACAGATGGCTGAACTTTTCTGTGTTGATCCTGTGGAAATGGAAAAGGAGGTTATAAACTTCAAAATAATGTGCAGTTGAAGTCTCAGCAGCATTCACAGCATTTCTGGAGCTTGGTAGAGCCAGATAACAATGAAAATCTTCACCAAGCAGCTATGAAAATGTCTGCTTAGTTTGGGTCTACATACCTCTGTGAGTCAGCTTTTTCTGACATGAATGTCCTGAAATCAAAGCTCAGAACAAGACTGACAGATGAACATTTAAATGACTCCATAAGAGTGAACTTAAGTGGATACACACCAGCATACCCCTCTCTTGTTGACTCCTTGCAGTGTCAGTCATCTCCCTCGCTAAGACAGACTGAACTTCTGAACACATTCACACTCTCTCACACACACACACACACACACACACACACACACACACACACACACACACCTTCACTGCTCAATATTGAACTGAACTGAACTGAATGATTTTTATTGTGAATGCAATTTTTGTTCTTTATGTGGTTCTTTATGTGGATTTCGCCATTTAGAATATACTGATATATTGAGGATTTAAAAGGTTGTGTTGGGTAAAGTTTTTGATTCTTGGTTTGTAGAAATTGTAAGTGATCCATAATAACATTTCATTTTCAGATGTCTTGGTGCATGTAGATAGTTTTGTGAAGAGTGACACAGTGACATGGACATATATAACAATGATAAGTGAATAAGTAGCAATATCTGTATTTGTAGTAATAATAATAATAATAATAATAATAATAATAATGATGATGATGATGATGATAATAATAAGAATATTTTTGTGATATTTTAATACAGAATGTGAGATGTGGACAGTAACATATTGTAAATGTTCCGGAAAAGAAAGCTTATTGAGTTTGTTCGAAATGAGAATAAATGTTACAAAACATGAGTAGCTCTCTGCCATTTTTATTTTGTAAAAGTAGCTCTCAGAGGAAAAAAGGTTGGAGACCCCTGCAATACAGCAAGTGAAAGTATGCAAGTATAATCTGGAAAAAGTATTTAAGGTATAGAAATGAAAGTAGTCTCTAATCAGAACAATTGCCCCTGTGACTATCACACTATTATATAATTAGATTATCATTACTGATGGATTAATGTCTAAGCAGAATTTTGTTGTTGTAGTTGGTTGAGGTGGAGCTCATTTCAAACTATTTTGTATAAGACTGCAACTTATTTTATATTTTTCATTATGACTTTATCTCCTGATTGTTTTCTCAATTAAATTGATTTAATTTAAATCTAATTTTCTGCCATTTTCTGCACCAAACAATTTATCGATAATAATCAATCAACAATTAAAATAAACGTTAGTTGCAGTACTAGGAAGTACAAGATTTGAGTAAATGTGCTTTGTTACATTCCACTACTGCATCCCATATATCAAAAATCATAACAATAATTATATTCAAGTATGTAAGTAAGTAATTACAAAGTATGTCTTCAGTAATTAGTGTTCAGGGGTACTGTTGCATTATCTGAATTATGATACAAGTTGTACAAGAGTGCTATAGGATTTGACCATATAGAATTACTGTCCATACCAGTAATAACCTAGCTATGGAAAGAGATGATTCGTGTAAGATGAGTAGACTAAAAGACTGTTTGACCCTCCTCCTTAAAAGGAGACCATAAATGTACTAAAGGAGACCACAAATGTGCTGAAGCGGGCTCAAAGCGAACGGTCCAATCACAGCAGTGGTGGCTCAGGGGGTCAGCAGAGAGGGATTAGGGGTGGGACACTTACCAGTGAGACATGACACAGCAGGAGGCCTTCCTATGTATTGCCACATTTAGGGCAGGGGAATTAATTACATTTCATTTGAAATTACAATTTTGACTTCCAACGATTATGGAAACAGTTTTTATCTCAGCTTGATAATTGAGATAAAAAAAAATTATTGTGCTGCATCCGTTTCGCTATGCTGCTCTTATTTTGTCTTGTGTTAGAAATCCAGCACACCCCTCCCTAAAAGCCCAAACTCACTTTCAGGTTACTCACTCGCATGTTTAGTTCAGCTTGAGCCAAGACAATTTATTTTTCAGTTGAATTGAAATCCACTGTTAAAAGGACACTTTTTTTAAAAGTTTAGTGAATGATGTTTCCAAAGTCAATTAGTAACTGTGTTAAAAATCACCATGTTGACCAAATTAGCCACATATTTTCCTTGTAGAGGGAATGCTGCTATGTCACCAGTCAACTGGGTGCTCAAATATAAGAAAACCCAGTGTGTGTGTGTGTGTGTGTGTGTGTGTGTCATTTAATTAATACCTTTTATTTTACTGTAAAAGCTATAAAACCCTGTTTACACCCCTATAAATATGCAAGTTAAATGAATGTAGTGGAGACACATGCCATATATAACTGGCACATCCGATGTTTGAGTCTGTCTGGGTTTTTTTTTAAATTGTCATACCCTGTATATGCTAAAATTGCAACCATGGCAGTGCAGGGATTTTCACTAATCAATCAGGCTGTCAAAAGCAGTTAAAACTGCAGTCAGCTGGCTTGTATCCTACTACTGTGGCAGTTCATTACAAGGTTTGTGTCATAGTGATCCCACAGCTGTGAAACTAGCGGGCTCCGTATGGCAGCTCTGAAAGCATCATGTTACAACATCCATAGAAATAACAACATCTCTCTGATGATCACCAAGCAGGTGGTGTGAGTTATTCTCATCTGGCAGGAGAGGCTAGGAAGTGTCCTCTATACAGCAATATAACTTAGTCCAATAAATATTGACTTTGCTCTGTCCTCTTCCTTATTGCTCTCTCAGATTCAGTCTGAAAACTCGCTGAATGACAAAGTCAGACCAGAGGACAGTTTTTACTGACTCCCTGTACCTGTATGTATGTGGCCTGGCTTCCCCACACTGCACTCCAGATCAATTAGCCAGGACATCTGGCGGAACAGGAGGCCAAAATTGGGTCCAAAAACGACAAGCCCTCGTTCTGAAACTGCTAAAAAAACCTGTGTCACAGCAACACTGACTGGACCAAAGGTAGAAAATGAGCTGAAGTGAATTCTGATAAACAGATGTATAATTTACATATAATTGTCTTCTCCCTGTTTTTTTCTTTACTGATTCTACCTTCTTACATCTTGTCTGATATTGGAGCTTTGCCATTGTGTCCAAGAAAGCCAGGACCACCAACTGGCTGAGCAGGTTGTGCATACGAGACCCAACCTGGAGCTGCGTAACATCCGGCTATTACCTAATGATATAGATGCTCTGGCTTTTGTAGTTAACTCAGTAGGTGATAGTGGTATTGGGCTGGACTTTGGAGCATGCTCAATGGAGTTGGAGTGTTTAGATGACCTTCCCAGGTGTCAGTACGTTCACTACCTCTGGTAAGTCCACACAAGTTATCCATGTAAAGTGCAAAACACATTCAAAATGCAAAGGAACAATTTTTATGTTGAGTGGGGAGGGACGCTTGAATTTTATAAAATGTCATGAAGCTGCAATTACATGACTCTGCTGAATTGTCCGCTCTCTCTCCACTTCGAGGATGGGCAACTGGAATAGTGATGGAGCGTCAGTCAGATATAGAAGTTTACCCCCAGTAACACAAACAAGAGTGAGCGAGATGTGTCGTCGGCCCACATCGTCCTCCTCAAGATCCTCAATACCAGTTCAACTACCAGTTCAACTGTTAATTGAGCTGTGTAGCTTTATCAGGTTTTATTGTAAAAATGTTTGCACTTTTCGTCTCCTTCACGCTTGGAAGGGGAGGGTGAAACAAGGGAGTAACGACACCTCAAGATGCCACTAAATCCTACACACTGGTCCTTTAAACTGCTGTATTGTCCAACTGGCATTAATATTATACTAGTGGAAGGCTATATAGTATACTACTATGTAGATTATAATGAATATGCTAACATTATATAATACCTACTGTATAAACATATTTCACACATTATTGTTATAAATGTTGTTCTGTGATCTCTTTTACATAAAGTGAGGGGTGGTGGCTGCTGGAAAAAAAAAAAACCTAGAGGAAACACTGAACGCAGTTGCTGACATTCCTCAGCTTATTGGCCACCTGTTGCACATTGCTGTGAAACTGACATAGGCTCTCTGTTTGCTGCTGTGTCCCAGACGTTGGCTCAGTGTTTCTGTAACATGCTGCCTGGACTCAAGGGCAAAAAGACGACAAGGATATTGTTATTAAACCATCTCAAAAGAAAATTAACTCCCACACAGAGTGAATACTTGCATATAATTTAATAGGACCTTCCTAAGATAAGATCAACTCACACATAAAATAATAAACAAGTGAAGCCAGAAGGTGTCAAAAACAAAACTGGGGACACAGACTATTTATGTGAAAAACAAACAGAAGCTTTTGTTCATAAGCTTGGTGAAAGCGTGGTATTCTGCACTCTAGACACTTACCAACATTAGGTTTCATTATGAATTTTTTTTTGTTTGTTTGTTTACTTTCAGTTTTCGCAGCCGCAAGTATGGCGACAAGTTTGCTGAGAAGTTGTCCTCCATTTTGCCAAAATTCACAACCCTGAGAAAGCTAGAGTGAGAACCTATTTTTTTTTTTTTTCTTTCTCCTTTCTATTTTCTGTCTGTCGCTTTCTTGAATTCATATCTGGCCTATCAGGAGTGGTGTAGTCTAAATGTTGTTTCCCTTCCTCAGACTATTCTAGACTACAGACTACTCACAGATCAGTGTAATTCAATTTGAAATACTGTAATGGCCCTTAACACCCCTACTGCAATGATTGACTGATTTTCTCTTTTGTCCTCTCAAGGTTTTGTGGTGCCAGTCTCACTGCCCCAGGAGCAGCTAGTTTGGCCTCTGCTCTACAGAACTGTCCAGACGTCACGACTGAGTAGGGTTGCTGACACCTGATACCTAACATAGTATAATGCTGAAATATATTGGATTCTGGTCTGAAAATTGACACCAAGGATCTGTTTTTACATTGCAGACTGAGTGACAATCTGAAAGATGCAGGGATCGAACACATAGCTGATGTTTTTACCAAACTACCCAGACTGGTCTCGGTGCTGTGAGTACATGCTGCTAATGAGAAGCTTTTTTTAAAATAACCTCAATATCTCAAGATTTTGCTGATTTTTTGTATTTTTACTATATTATTATATTATCATAGTATATTATGAGTAGTACGTGTGTGTGTGTGTGTGTGTGTGCACGCGCGCGCACCTTGCAGGCTGGGTCGAAACAGCTCTCTGAAAGCAGTGGACTATCTCATCGGGAAGTTGTCTTCATGTTTGAACATCGAGCAAATTCACACAGATTATGAGTGCACACACACACACACTCACACACACACAGTCACACACCAACTAAGTTACGGGCATCGATATTTTTACATGATTTAACACAGAGGCCATACAGCCATACATCGCCACAGGCTCTTTGTTATGGAATCGATGTCAATTTGGGGGTTTATTTTCCGCTCACTGTCATTCTTTTAGCATTTGACTGCAATGTATGGACTGCACACATCAGCTTGGTCAGCATTTTCTGCATCCAAAGTATTTTCTCAGTCATATGTAACCTTCAGACTTACTTCATAAACCTCCAAGGCACTAAATAAAAGTTTTAGGTTATTTGAAAAAGGAAGCGAGTAAACATTGTTGTACAATGTAGATTTGTATCTTTGTGCAGTGGGATGAAGGAAATTACGGTAACTTTCTCCCAAAACTTCGATTTGAACAGGTGAGTTAAATGGTTGGATAAACATTATGAGTAAATACAAGTAATTTAGCATACGGTGTCTATGAATAACATTGTCATCAAATGAACTCTGCACATACTGACCATTTATATTCCTGAATTCCCCTCTGCAGCCATAAGTCTGAACCTACAATCAGGTAAGACAATGACACTCTTATCAAATGTTGATCACCTTCCAGAGCTTTACTAACATAGCCAGTTTCCTGAACTTTGCTCCTTTGAAGTAAAATGGCTCTTAACAAGGTTCACGTACCAGAAACAGCCTCTGAATGTGTGAACTCAGTCAGTTCAGTTCATGTGCCGATTGACTTGAATTTGATTCAGTTCATGGTTTTCAATTTTGATGTTTAGCACTTTTTTTATTGTTGATAATCCTGTGGTACTATTTGTTCTCCAGCTTGTTGAACCAGAAATGGAGCACACCTGAGATGCAAATACTTGCAGAGTCATTGGCACGTTGCCCTGCCTTGTCTGTCCTGGAGTAAGTGAGCCTTACCAAAGATAGAACCAGTGGTGGAATTAAACTAAGTATACTCAAGTACTGTACTTAATGGTGGGGTAAGCAATTTTGGAGAAATCAAATACCATGACATATGAATACCATCTGTCCGATCCACTCTCTTTCCCATTTACTGAGCCAGAGCTGTGTACAACCACCGATATTCAGTTTGAACAAAAGGTTTATTGGATTAGAATCACATTACTCCACCTTCAAGTATGAATTTCCATTATGTACAACTTTATATTTATACAACAGCTCAGAGGCAAATATTGTACTTTTTACTCCTCTACATCTACGTCAGTCAGCTTTAGTTAGTATTTACTTTTATCCTTCTTGTCCAGTGAAAACCACGTATCTCCAAATTTGGTGCTTGTGAATTTGAATGTTCCTTTATGGGTTGAGAATATGTTCCTTCATATTAAGTTACAGTTTTTCTCAGTTGCTTTGGTACATTTCTCGAATCATCCTCAAAATTTGCAAAACAGTAAGTGCATTTCTCAAAAACACCTTGGATTACCTGCCAATGCCACTTTCTTGCTCAAAATCCTTAGTTAATCTCTCAAAAGTAAATATCCGTGTCAATGAACATGTCAGTGCCATCAGAATTACAAGTCCTTGTGTCATAGTATAAGGATAAGACAGTCAAATTGCTTAGTCATGTTGTCAATATAACAGTGTACTCTGGAGGGATGTTCTGATGTAAACTATGGCCAAAGTTTTGATGACAATTATTGTAAATTGTAGGTTACACCTTAGTGTATGTGGGAGTTTGATTGCAAGAGACTGGACAAGATTCACATTTAAACTTTTACTGTTTGTACTGTAGTGTGTTGACAGACCATGTCATTGTGGTACAGAAAGGAAAAGACAGCACTGCGTAGCACAAAAGAAAAAAAACAAAAAAACAAAAGTAGAAATGTGAACATAGGACAGTCTCCTTAGGGAAAACTGTACATGCAGTGCTGTAGGAATTACAGTGCAGTCTTCCTACACCTCCTGACGTTCCTGTCGGTTGGGCCACAAATTCTCATCCACATCACAACGAATATCTTCTCTTGCGATGCAGCGTGGAAAAATCTTTTAGAGTGTCTTATCCAGCCTCTGCAGGCATCTGCTGTGATGTCATCACACGCTGCATCCATGGCAGCCAGAATGGTCGTCTGTGTATGTGGATGGCGATCATATGCTTTCCATCTCCATGCTGAGAAAATTTCCTCAATGGGATTACGGAATGGGGAGTAGGGTGAGAGGAACTCCATCAGCATCCTGTTCTGGGCCGCAAACCATAGCCTGATGACGTTGGAGCGATGGAAACTGACATTGTCCCAAACTATCACGTACTTTGGCAGGTCATCTCCAATCTGACCCCTCTCTTCTTCAGGGATGGGATCCCTGTAGAGAGTGTCTAAAAAGGTGACAAGACGCTCTGTATTGTATGGCCCAATAATGAGAATATGCGTTAGCACACCATTCTCAGAGATAGCAGCACCCATGGTTATGTTCCCGCCCCGTTGGCCTGGCACATCAACTGTAGCTCTGTGGCCGATGATATTTCGACCACGCCTTCTGCGTTTCGTTAGGTTGAAGCCAGCCTCATCCATGTAGATGAAGCTGTGCGGTGGTTCACTTGCTTCCAGTTCTATTATACGCTATATCCAGAAGACACAAAATGAGTTTGATGAATTACATGCATTTTTATTTTGGCAAGATACAGTTACATCACATGTATACAGCACATATTGCATCTTCTTTTCTACAGCCATAGCAAATGTGTAAAGGTCACACTTACTGTACTGTATATCACTATACGATGTTGTACTGTTTACTGTGAGGTACAGTTGCTGCATGCTCATACATGTTTTACCTTTACATACTGGTAGCGCAGCACCTTCACTCTTTCACCATTTCTTTCAAATGGAACGGTGTACAGCTGCTTCATATTCATTTGGTGTCTTTTCAGCACGCTGTCAATGGTTGAGATGCTGACTGTTTGGATGTTATCAAATATGCTGTTGTCCTCTATAATGGCACTCTGTATCTCCCTTAGTCTTATGGCATTGTTATCTACAACCATGGTGCAAATAGCCTCCTCCTGTTCAGGTGTGAAAAGGGGCCCTCTGCCACCCCTGTGAAGTTGTCTTGCAGTCCTATGTGGAAAAAATATAGTCATGCAAAACACAAAATTGAGTAAGATAAAATGTCAGTTTACGTAAAGTATACTTACTGTATATTGTAAAATACAAGTGGAATACTGTAATATTGTATGAAGCATTACAGAAAGTATACAGTATTACAGTACAGTGCCTATTGTTAGATTACATACCTGTTCTGTTGACGAAAAGTCTGAATGATTGAGGACACAGTTGTTCTCCCAACATTTGGCTGCACCCTTCGACCAGCCTCGGCCATTGTAAGCCCATGATTGAGAACATGGTCTACAAGTGTGGCTCTTATCTCATCAGGAACGCGCATATGTCCTCGGCTTCTTCTGCCTCTTCCTCTGTTTTGCCTCTTCTTCTTCTCCCTGGCTGTTGACCCTGTCCAATTCTTTGTCCTTCCATTGTCAGAAATTGTAACATTGTGTTGTGCTCCGGTTATATATATACTTGCCAGTTGATTGATTCGTTAGAGAAAGTCAAGATTCACCTGGGAGCATGTATGGATGTACCAAAGCATTTGCAACTTGTTCAAAGAAATGAAAAACTGCTTTTTTGATGTGCACAAGTGACACAATGATTTGAAGATTGAACAGGTAGTTTTGAGAATTTCAATTCTGATCTGAGAAATGTACCAAAGCGACTGAGTACTGTAAATAAACTACTTAAAAACTCTCTTGTATTAGCTGGAAAATGCATCGTCACAAAATGCATTGTGCGGTTTTTCTTAGCTCGTGAAAAATGTTAGAGCTACGTGGTTCTCACAGGACAGAAAAGCTATGAACATATGATCTTAATCTCCCCAACAGTATATAACGTTGATAGCTCCTTAACCTTAAAGCTTCACCTTAAAGGAAAACTTTGCTGATTTTGGACCAGCTTTGTATGATTACAGTGTTGATTACGTGTTGACTGCACCCAGAGCTTTTGCAAATGTGTCATCTGGTGGACTCTTGCTGGCAAATAAGCTCTTGGTAATGATATTAAGCTGGCTGACATTCGGCAAGGTTTCCCTTGAACTACAACAGTAAAATGTAACAGTAATGCAGACCTCCCTGGGGTCCTAAAAATTGTGCTAGGAGGTCCTCCTATCTGACCCGTAAGCCATGTAAACTATTTGCCATTGCCACACAGTGGCACCTGATACCCAGTGCTCCCACTACAATCCTCCCTCCTTTTAAAACAGTTTACTCCCTCTCTCAATCCAAGAATTAGTAGAACTATACAGAACAGAATTATATATATTATTTATTTATATTTTATATATATATATATATATAAACAATGTTTATTGAATAGAATATTTTATATTGAAGTAAATATTAACAATAACATTTTAGAAAGGGCTCTGCTGCCTGGTAATTAGTCCAGTCCTCACAATATTATATTATATATTAAAATACCAGGTCCTTTTAAACTGGCTAACCCCGATTTCCTTATATACACAAAAATATTATATATATAGTATATATATATATATATATACTATATATGGCTTGACTGAATACTTGATGAATACTTGATGGTTATTGTTTACTGAGAGATGTGGAGCCATATTACAGGCTGCCCAGCGAATCAACATTTTACAGTTTTTCTCAATTGTTTACACACAAATACTGGTACCAATTCTCCTAAACTACAAGCACAATTCCTGCTTTACTCTCAAATTGCAGTTCAAAACACCACACACAATTCTCTGCATTTGGCACAATCATGAAGAAAATATCTTGTTTTCACAAGGAACACACTGTCATTCAAAATTCTAAAGTTAATTGCCCTTCTATGTACACTGACTCATCACATGGGCAAACACCTGTCACACAGTTTTACAATTAGCAATCAGAGCTTTAACATAAAAGGGCAACAGCTTAGGGTTAGGGTTAACGCGTATACCCTTTCTCCAAGCCATGGAAGACGCATGTGGAGATATAGCAGTTGATGCTTTTCATGGCTGGATATTTGGCTTGGCCAGGGAAAACATTGCAAATATATTTTATTTTTTCCCACAAAAACAATGTACACAGTCATTGTTTTTGTGGGAAAAATAAAATATATTTGTTACCGTGTATTTAAGGCCTAAGTCATTATGATGAATGGAGAAAACCTGTTTTCCATTCATCATAGTGTTTTACATTGAGCACATCAGTGTTCAACTGGTTCTTATAAATGTCTATTCATATGATGGTTTGTGTGTGTCATTTGAAAACAAAATACCATTTTGAGAAGAAATAACATTGTTTTGAATGTAAAGTTTCATTTTGCAGGAGAATTGAGGGGTTTTGCCCATTGTGTGTGTTTTTTGATTTGTGTGTTGAGTTCTGAGAGTATGAGGCATGCTTTCAGAAAATGTGTGTAAACAATTGTGAAAAACTGTAAATTCAATATTTACAGTTTTTCTCAATTGCTAAAATACAATTTCTGAAACCTTGCTCCATTTTCTGAAAACATTAAACACAAAACCTCAGCTTCAAGCACTATTTACAAAACCTCTGACTCCTCGTGCAAAATGAAACTTTCGCCTCAAAACAGTTTTACCTATGCTCAAAATGAAACTTTCGCCTCAAAACAGATTTATCTGTGCTCAAAATTAAACACTGCTCTCAAATCATAAACAAAGCGATCAAAATGATATACACTATCAGGTAGTCAGTAAACAATACACCAAAAAATAGAAAACACGTTGTTCAAAACATATAGTTCTCAGGGAGAAGTACATTTTTAATCTAAAAACAAATCATATTTTAGTGATTGAGAAAAACTGTAATCATCTTGCGTAGTGTGCGTTTAGGGTGGACGGGCTCTGCAGTAATGTTAAGCCAAAACATCATATATAATATTGCAACACTGTCAGGGACCATTTTTCTACACAATGAGTACTTTCGCTTTTGATACTTTCCTTAAAATTTGCTGTTAACACTTACATACATACATACTTTTACTTTTGTAAAGGATCTAAATACTTGTTCCACCACTGGATACAACGTACTGACAGAGAATAATGCAGTGCCGAGTATAATAACTGCTAGTTATTGACCTCTTGTTTTATTTGTCTGTGTGGTCAAAGTTCAAGCATTCACAGAGTAAGTAACTGGCAGATGATGTGTTTTATGTGACTTCCTACTACTTCCCGTTTTGTCACTGGAGCAGGGTTGACCACAACTGACATTTATGCATATTATAATTAGATATTCAGGACTATCATTTATCACTGCTAGTGAGAGTGGATACCCTGGCTGTAATTCAGATTGAATCATTTGTAATACTACTACCGCGAGTGCATTCATTCAAAACAAATGTTTATATAGTTCTGTGTGTATATGTGTGTGTGAGTGTGTGTGTGTGTCCACCCTAGTCTGTCTGGAGGCCAATGGGATGTGGAAACTCTAAGGACACTGACTCAGTTCTTGCCAAAGTTCAGTGTCACCAAAAAGATCATGTAAGACTGGATTTATACCAAACTACCATTCACAAAGAACACAAGATGAGAGTGACAAAGTATTCTGCATATGGCACATTTTTACTAATATACTATTAATACTAATATGCCAGTTATGCTATACTGACAAAAACAGTGTTTGACATTCATAAGAACTGAACAGCAGCAGATTGTTGACGTTCAGATGTTGCTTCTCAGTGTGAACGACAGCTGCTCTTCAGTGGAGGGCTTGGTGATTCTGACTGCTCTCCTGTCTGAATGTCCGACTGTGATGGAGCTTCATATCAGGTACAAACATGTACGTACCATAAATGCACACACCTCTTAAACATACTGCACTAACAAATTTGCTCACATCAGACAAAACCATCATACCATTCCTCTCCTACAAACAATCAGCAACATATTTAAATTGTATTTAGCCTGCCTGTTTAGATTGTTTTGTAATAATAAGCCACATATGTAGGTAACTTAAAAACTCCCAGACATGTTTATACAACGGTTTAGAACAGTAATGTGTGTGATTTCCTCAAAATAGTATAAATAACACTTAACCCTAACCCTAATTAATAACCCTATTAATATGCACATGTTGTTCATTTCTCAAGTTTTCTTGCTGGACACAAGATGTCTTCTTTGTCCATTCTCACTGTATGTGCACTGACTTGTATATCTTGTATAAGTTGCATGGTGGACCAGGGTTCACTTCCAAACTGTATCTGTATTTTCTTCATGTTTCAGACTACAGAGTCCTATTCAGGTCTCTATAGTGTTCTCTGGAGGGAGAGAAAAACCTGCAGATAAAAGATCTAAACTGCTCTGGTATGTATTAAGTACAAACAATAAACAAAGCACATTTTTTGAACAAAGGGAAACTTTCTTTTATAAATGTATTTTACAAAATATTGGTATTACTGGTGGTAATTATGATGCTGTTGCCTCTGTTAGTCTCAGCTGCTGTGGTCTGCAGCCTGCTGATCTGGAGAAAGTGTGGAGGAGTTTGGGAATCTCGTCTGATCTCAGTTTGCTGGAGTTAGATACACAAAAGATAATCAAAAAACCAAACATTTTATTACATGTAACAGCAAGTCATTAACACACTCTGTACTAAGATAGACTGTGAAGTACATACTGCTGTGTAAAAAATCTAAAAATACTATTCTCTCCCGACCTCTCATGTTATGTGTTGGTCAGCAGTAGCAACCCATTTCAGTCCAGTAGCTGAATTGCTTAGGATAAACAAACTTATTCACCTCTAGTTTATAGTTACTCTTACTGATAATGTCTTGAGGTAAATGCTGCATCACCCTAGCAACTGTACCTCTTTAGCAGTCATCATGTCTCTGCAATGGCCATAAATTGCAATTTAATGTTATTACTATGTATTACTATTTTTTACACAAACCTAGTTTATTTTATTATTTCTACCTATGTTGAACTCTTGTTTTTGTCTCTGACATTATTTGAACCCCACATTCTTGTCCGTCAGTCTGTCCAGTAACTGTTTAGGCAACAAAGGTCTGGGAAAACTGTTGGAGGTCCTGCCTCGGCTTAGTATCATCCAGGAGATCAAGTAAGACTTGCACACAAAGTGATAACAACATGACTAATAATGATACACTCAACACAATTTTAAAACATCTGAAACTTTACTGGTGATAACAAACCCCCAAAATAGTGTGTGTTTTTTAGTGCCAGGAACAACGAGATCAGCATGGAAGGAGTGGTGATATTGGCTGGTGCTTTGTGTGCCCATAACAACTTAACACAAATTCACATCAGGTGCTTTTTGTTTTTTTTAGGCATTAATAATTAATTTTATTAGAGCAGCTAAACAGTGAGTACCTGTTTCTCCAACGTGGCAAGCAGCCAGATAGAACAGCTGATAGAAGCTGTGTAACAGCTCATTTTTTATCTGTTAAAATACCAGTGTATATGTCATAAACACTAAGTGACTTGGGGGACATTGCTGTTGTTAACTAGTGTTGTGCACATTGTTAATCTGATAGTGTCCTGTTGGTTTTATAGTGATGGAGGCAGAGAGCAGCTGACCCTGAAGTTCTGCCCTGACAAAAGGTAGAAAAGCTCCACACATCTGGACACCACTGTCTGCTTTTTCATTTGTCAGTTAGTAAGCTAATGCTGTGCTCTTTTTTTTAGCGATGACAAACAGCAGCTAAAGATGTTCAGGTACAGTATGCTGATAAAGAGAAACACTCATACACACAATTCTCTTTAAAATACAATACAAATCTATATAATATGTAATCTATTGAATGAATACAAAATGATCCTTTTTTTGTGCTGCAGGATAAACAACAGCAGCCTCCTGCCAAATAATATGACCACACTATGTAGAAGACTGGTCCAATGTCGCTCCCATTTGGAGTTAGAGTAAGTTTCATTATTTTATATCCATCAAACATGATTTATTTCAGGATTATGACCAAACAGGTAGACATTAATTTACTTGTATGTTGTGTCAGTTTGTCTCACAGCTCTCTGACAGACACAGCTATTGAGAATCTGCTGAAGGTCCTGCTGAAGATGACGTCACTGCGGAGACTCAAGTATGCCATACACACACACGTGTGAGATAATTAGTGTGGATGGTTTTGTGTGTGAGTATGACTAAAGGTTTCTTTAAGTATATGTAGTTTATTTTGTTTTGTTATGTGATATTGTGGTTGGGAGTATTTGCAGAAAACCAGGACTTGTATATAGAAATGGTACAAATATATGTAGGGGAGATTGGGGAAGATGAGCCATTTTTCATATTTAGGATCACTACATCAAGGCAATCATAGTTTTGTCGCTAACTAATATATCTGCATATATTTCAGGATGTTGTGCATCCCTTCAAACAAACAGAATGAGTGTAAACATAACTTACCCCATGTATGGGGTAAGTTGAGCATAGGAGCGGGGTAAATTGAGCCGTATTAACAGCTGAATCACTGATGTTGCTCAGCTGTTTGACTGTCAGTAAGCGAGCCACATCAGTGGAGCTCAGGTACTTTCCTCTGTTGCATGCAGCGTGCCACAATTGAAGTTCTAGCTTTTTTTCTGAATCTAGGCAGTTTGTTCTGTAGTGGCTACAGTTAGTAGTAGTCATTATAATAAATATGTCACTGCAATAAGTATATATGTTTTTGTTAAATACTGCTTTGAATTCTTCTTTAGGCCTCAGACTGAAGCCTTCCTCCATTTTGAGAGTGTGAAAGCAGAACACGCCAGTTGCAGGTCGGTGATCAGCAGTTGACATTTTGTTAGTGCACTGTCTACTGGTATGTCTAAAAAAAAACTTGGGTGGGTGTTTCGTGTATTTCTCTTTGAGTCTGACTGCCAGTGTATGTGGTTCACTTTGAATATGATCAGAAAACTGTGCTGTGTGCTTTCTACCACAACTGAAGACCGAAGCAAATGTACAATTTCTTAAACATTAAATAGGTGAGAACATCCTCACTCTGCTTTTATTTTAGTGTATAACAGAAAAATACTGGCTATGGCTCCCAGTCCAGCAGTCTGATATTTTGATCTATTAACAGTAAACAAAAGCATTCCTCCCAGACAGACATTGGTGGAGACGGGGTTATGAAAAAAATGGGCACAGTGCTTCATTTTGAGCAGGATTAGTTTTTAATCTTATGCTGGTTTAAGTCACTGTGTTGGAAGATCTTACCACAGGGATGACAAATAGTTGTTAGGGTGGTGTTCACTCCAGCGTGGAGACTGTGTCTGCGGTGTCGCGGCGAAATACGCCAAGTTTCTTCTGTGCCCTCTCGCCGTGTGTGTCCAGGTTCCGTCGTTTGGCATCCACCGTCACCCAGGATAGTTTCTTCAGCATCTCCATTGGTGTCGCTGTAGAGGGTCTCACAGTCTTTCACCCATGTACTGTACATACATACCAGCACTTACTTACTTGATGCTGAGTCATCTTTTCTTTTGGCTGCAGTTTATCAAGTAACCGCCTGGCAGATGAAGGAGTGAAGCATTTCTTGGATTCTCTACCGAACCTTAAAATCACCAACTACGTCATGTGAGATATATGTTATGAAACATTGATTTCACATCATTTTTTGTTTTATATTAATCTTTTAGCAGCTGTATAGAACAACACAACATAAGAAAATAGAGAGCTGTTGATAGCTACAGAGGTAGCGGGTCCTCGTCTACAGGGTCCGCCATGTTGAACTGCCATGTTTCTACAGTAGCCCGGAACAAACAAACAAAACACTGGCTCTAGAGAGGGCCTTTGGCAGTTTTAATGTGTTTTGTGGCCTCCTGCATGCTTGAAGGCTGAACTGTATTCAGTTGGTTGCAGTTTCAAACTTTACGACTAGATGTCATTAAATATTGCAAACTGGTCCTTTACATGTTTATTTTAAAAAATCCAATATATTGTTATCTGACGTTTTTCTATTCCTCTAAAATACCTCACTTACACTATGTTGTTGATGATATGATAGTGGATGGGTTAAATACAGATTACACATACAGACAGACAATTTCTGGTCTTTAATGCGTCTCCATCCACAGTTTGAGCAACAATGACCTGACACAGCACAGACTGTTGGAAGTGGCGAGCACGCTGTGTACCCGTGGTAACGTTTCTGGTGCAGAAGTGAGGTGAGTCTGTGCATTGTGGAAGTGAATGAACAAAGGACCAAAAGAAGAAATCAATTCAATGAATTGTTCAAAGCATGGAAAACTGAATGAATGAATGAGGTTTTTGTCCATGTCTAGTTTGGCAGCAGAGGAGAGGTGTCTCATCTGGTTTACCCAATGCGACGGCTGTGAAAACACTCTGAGGTAGGACAAGAATCCCAAATTTCAAAAGTATAAGTAACTAGCATGTTATTGTGCAGAGGTTTTCCATGTATCTGCCACAAAATGTCAGAGTGAATTCAGTGTTTTATTGTTAGCATTCACAGTTAGACCAGGTCCCTGTTTGTTGTCTTAATAAGACAAAATAAGATACTTTAAAGGTTTCAGCGTGCATTCAATTAATCAGTTTGGCACTATATACCTTTTACTCATATGTTGACTTATACTTTGTTTTATTCCCTCCTATCTTTTCTGCCACTCTGCTAGCATCTGAGAGAGTAGTTTGGAACGTGGTCATCTGGTCAGATTAGCAGAGATCGTGTCTGCCTGTCCCAGCCTGACCAAACTGGAGTAAGTAACCTTGACCGGCCTGACCTGACCTCCATTCCCAGTTGCTACCATGATCTCGGGGAGGTATTCAGTAAGAGTAAGGCCATGTCTCTACCACCCCATCGACCTTATGACTGTCCTATTGAACTTATCCCAGGGGCATCGATTCCAAAGGGGAGGTTATATTCCATTTCGGGCCCTGAGAAGGTAGCCATGACTGAGTATTGTAATGGAAAATTTTAATACATTATGATACATTTGTTGTAAACACTTTAATACATTTTTTAATAACCTCACTCTCATGAATTACAGTGTGTGCACTCTATGTAACCTTATGCTTATGAACTATTGTGCGTACAAAAATGTCTAATTGTTTCAAGGGTGCCCTCAGCACCTGGTTCTTCTCCCACATGATGAAAATTGACAGTCAACCTGTGATTACAATGTATCAAATGTTTTACTGTCGCTATGGGAGGAGAGGATGAATTCTCTAGAGACTGGCTCCAGACATCTCCCTTTTGTTCAAGGTTATGATGTTCGTTAACGTCCAACTGTTATCTACTATGTACCACCTGCTTTGTTTCTCTTTCTTCAATAAATATGGGTGCAGCTCTGAGAAGGGAGTTCTTCTCATGCTAACAAGCTGAGAGGCTCACTCTGTACAGAGTTACACCCGGGTGAAAAGACAAACTGATTGACTTTGTCTAATTCTTGCATCTCACATGAATGGGCTGAATTGAATTTCCACCACAAACTTGGCGTCACGAACAGGATTTCTCGGTGACCGCCTGGACTCGAGTAGCTCCTGCTGCTGGACTCCTTGGGACAACGGTGACTGATCATCTGGAGAAAAGCTTCCACCTCTACCTCCTTAGTCTGAAGAGAAGAGAGGACCGTTGACCGGGGGAGACCGGGTCGTCCCCGCAGAGATCCAACGGACCGATTGGGTCAGAAAAAGGAATCAACGGCCTAATCCGGTGAGATGTAAAGTTTCTAAAAGGCAATATTAGAATTTTTGAGTTCTGAAAAAAGGTTATATAAAAAGGCATTTTGTTTGTGTATTTGAAACGTCATACATGTCACTATAGTCCACGTCTGTATCTGACTTTAAGTGGTACAGAAAACCACAGTGGTCTGGGACCACCGGCAGAGGCCGCGGGGAAAGTTTTAATGCATTTTAACCCCGAATCCAAATAAGAAACCGCAACTCACGGAGACGTCTGTGTTTTAAAAGTGACGGACAAGAGATCCGGGCACAAAAGTGACGGACAAGAGATCCGGGCACAAAAAGAGTACTCAAAATGGGAAACAGAGAAAGTAGAGAAGGACAACCTCCTCCAGAGGGGCCTATGGTGGACATAATGACGAACAAATACACAGAGAAAAGTGTGAAACACCTTAGATGTTGGACTCAAGATTTCGGCTTCCCGATGGGAGGCTCATTCAGTAAAACAGAGTTACAGAAACTCAAGCTGCAGTTGGAAAAGAAAGAGGGAGAGCTAAGAAAGAAAAAGAGAGTAGAAACAAAGGACTTAGACGAGATAGATAGCCACAGAAAGTGTTTAAAAATGTGGGAAGAAGAAGCAGAACACAGGGAAAGAAAACAGTTGCAAAGTCAGATGGCTAAGATGAATGTGACAGATGATGAGAGACATGACAAGGTGAAACCTAAGAAATCTCTTTATCCTTCCCTCTCAGGTCACAAAGGTCCTCTCCTCGACTCGTACCCTCCACCGCAGCCACCACCACCACCACCGTACCAACAACCACATTCGTCAAGCCAGTTCATGCCCGCGCCACAGCAACAGATGGCCCCGCCACAGTTCCCAGCACACACCGACAGAGGAGCAGAGGGGGGGAGCCACCCGATGAGCCCAGACTCTACAATGTCCGACTTCTCCAGCTTCTCTCCTCATTACACCCGATCACGCACAGCCTTCCAAGTGCCAATGATCCAAGTCATGGGACAAGAAGGTCCCCAGGTGGTGTTTGGACCATGGACAGACCAGGACATGATGGAGGCCCTCGCTCACCTTCCTGAGCCCGAGGCATCAGGCTCAAAGTTTGCTGCTGCCCTGGAAGAGTTCTGTGCAGAATTTCAACCCACTGTTCCAGAAATCCGACGGCTCCTACTCAAAAAGATGGGTCCTACAAACTACAGCAAAATCAAGGGAGCCTGCGAAGGCGACCAACGACTGGTTAACGCCAAATATGATCACGTGGACAACAATGCATACAGAGGACAGGTCGCCACCATCCACGCCGCCATTAAAGCTGCCTTTCCAGAACGAGTGGACATGTTAAAAATCACCTCCTGCAAACAAAAGCCTGGAGAAACAATAAGTGACTTTTATCACCGACTGTACCAAATTTTCAATGAAAACAGCGGCATCCCTGAACCACCTCAATTGGGGGATGTACCCGGGTTCTGGGAAACACACCTACGCCACTGTTTCCTAAATGGACTGCAACCCGCACTTAAAGCTGAAGTAGAACGCAGTTGCGTGGGTGTCGACGACGCCAGACTCATTGAGGTGAGGAGGCATGCGGAACATGCACAAAGAAATCAGAACCAGAACAAGGCCAGAGAAGGTGCTCAAAAGGACAAACAGCGTCACCAAGCACAGCTCACAATGATGCGAGCTGTGACAGACGCACATCAAAGTCTGAGGGGCCATGGCAGAGGCCGAGGAGGATATGGACGTGGGCGAGGACGCGGAGGCGGACGCCCAGATTGGGGAACATGGTCCACCGAATGCTTTATTTGTGGACAACAGGGACACTGGGCAAGAGACTGTCAGGATAACCCAGACAACTACGGTGGACCCCACAAACCTAGGGCTCACTCCGATTGAGAGGCGGTTGGACGGGCACGGGGAGAGGAGACGAGCTGTGATCCTGCCTGCACATCATTAAAGGGAAGTGAAACACACACACACACACGCAATGAAGAATCGCTTTCTGCCCTAACCACATCTGCTACACACACACACACACACACAGACAGAGAGAAAGTAGAGCAGGCAATTGCTCACTTAGAACAGCGCATGCAAAAAACACCTTTAACAGGCACATATGTAAAATACAGTACAGAACCTTTCCAACGTATGCCCGAAACAGAGTTAACTATAAAAGGGAAGCAGATGACATTTCTAGTGGATTCAGGGGCAACTTATTCAGTCATTCAGGAAAAGTACTTAACAAATGTGAAAATGAGCGGAAATTTCGTCCATACACAGGGGGCTACGGGAGCTACTGTTAAAGAAAAATTCACTGTGCCACTGCAATGTTCAAACACTATTGATGGAGATACAGTCTCAACAAAACATAGTTTTTTACTGTCCCCACATTGCCCCATAAATTTGATGGGCAGAGATCTCATGCTAACGTTAAACATTAGTTTGGAGTCTACTCCTGACGGTCTGAAAGTGGTGCGCCGACACCATGCACTCTCCATGGTCCAATATAGCGCAAAAATCCCTCTGTATGTGTATCAGTGGAGAATACAATACCCCATTGCCACAAACCTGGTCAGACAGGCCACACAGTTAGTGCCCCGTCATGCTGACTTTATGAGAGCTGAAAGCTTACATTGTACAGCCTATGTGTCTGAGGGTCCAGATAATGATTTTGAGGAACATTTTTATCATGATTTGAATGATGTTTTGTGTACCTCCACCCTGTTTTGGTCAGGGTGGAGGTGTGACTGTCCTATTGAACTTATCCCAGGGGCATCGATTCCAAAGGGGAGGTTATATTCCATTTCGGGCCCTGAGAAGGTAGCCATGACTGAGTATATTGAGGCAGGGTTTTTCTTTGTGGGTAAAAAAGATGGTTCCCTGAGACCCTGTATTGACTATGGACCTCTAAATGACATTACCATTAAGAATCGGTACCCTCTGCCTCTCATGTCATCTGCCTTTGAACAACTGCAACAGGCCAAGATTTTTACAAAGCAAACCTGAGAAACGCATATCACCTGATCCGCATTAGAGAGGGGGATGAGTGGAAGACTGGTTTTAACACTCCTTCAGGGCATTATGAATACCTGGTAATGCCATTTGGACTGACCAATGCTCCTGCAGTATTTCAGGCCCTAATCAATGACGTACTGAGGGAATTCCTCAACCAGTTTGTGTTTGTCTATTTGGATGACATCCTGATCTTCTCCCCAGATAAAGATTCTCATGTTGATCATGTCCGCCAGGTTCTCCAGCGCCTGCTGCAGAACCAGCTTTATGTTAAAGCAGAAAAAAGTGAATTTCATGCCAAATCTGTGTCTCTCCTGGGCTTTATCAAATGGACCCGGCTAAAGTTAGCGCTGTGGCTCAGTGGCCTACACCTGATAATCGCAAGAAGGTCCAGCAATTTCTGGGCTTTGCTAACTTCTACAGGCGGTTTATCAGAAACTGCAGCGCAATAGCCTCTCCTCTTCATGTTCTCACATCTCCTCAAGCTCCATTCCTGTGGTCTTCTCAAGCTGAGGAGGCCTTCACCCGGCTCAAGGAGATGTTCACCACCGCTCCCGTTCTCACGGTTCCAGACCCCAGTCGGCAGTTTGTGGTGGAGGTGGATGCCTCCAACGAAGGAGTAGGGGCGGTTCTCTCGCAGCGCTCTGCCAAGGACCACAAGCTGCATCCATGTGCCTTTCTGTCCAGGAAGCTTTCACCAGCAGAGCGGAACTATGATGTCGGTAACCGTGAGTTACTTGCTGTGAAGATAGCATTGGAAGAATGGAGACATTGGTTAGAGGGGGCCCAACATCCATTTGTGGTTCGGACCGATCATAAGAACCTTGAGTATATTCGCAAGGCCAAGCGTTTGAATTCCCGCCAAGCCAGATGGTTTTTTACCGTTTTGATTTTACCTTGTCTTACAGGCCGGGGTCCCGGAACACCAAGCCTGATGCCTTGTCTCGTCTGTTTGACCCCGAGCCTGCTGCCAAGGAACCTGAGCCCATCCTACCACGACACCGTGTGGTAGGAGCAGTAACATGGCAGATAGAATCTGAGGTGAAGCGGGCTAATGGTGAGAACACTACACCTAGTGGTTGTCCGGCAAATCCCCTGTTTGTCCCTGTTGCTTTGCATCCACAGGTGATTCACTGGGCTCACACCTCTTGGCTTACCTGCCATCCGGGAATCAAGAGAACGATGTACGCCATCCAACAAAGGTTCTGGCGGCCCTCCATGGAACATGAGGTCCGGGAGTATGTGGAGGCGTGTCCTGTCTGTGCCAGGAACAAGACCTCCTCCCATGCTCGGATGGGACTGCTGCAACCTCTCCCGATACCCAGTCGACCATGGGCTGAGATTTCATTGGACTTTGTCACAGGGCTCCCAGTCTCCCAAGGTAACGCCACTGTTCTTACAGTGGTGGACAGATTCTCTAAGATGACTCATTTTATTGCCTTGCCAAAACTGCCGTCCGCCAAAGAGACGGCAGAAATCATGTTAAATAATGTCTTTCGCATCCAAATTATAGTTTTTCATGCATTATTAATGATTTTATTGATCATTGTGATCATCATGTGAAAATCAGTAACGATTATTTGATGATTGGTCCACAGGTTCAAGAACAATTTGCTACAGTCGGATTCGATTGAAGACTATGTGAAACTGTTGAACAGCAGCGAGAGAGGAATCAGTGTCAGGTGAGAATCAATTCAGTAGATGTAGCATGTGCTGTGTGCTGCTGAAGAGAAGAATCAAACAAGACACTTATCACACAGTCCATATTGCTTTTTACTGTGTTTCTGTCCATATAGCTGAATTAAACAGTGTCCATGTGCTGCATTCTATTGTTGAAACACTGAGCTGCATTACCCTCTCTCTTCTTTGTCAGTTTTGAGGAGCGTTGGATCAGATCTGAGGAGGCTGTATGTTTGGTGTGTCGCTGTCTGAAGCTCAACGGTAACATACACCATCAGGTGAGATATGCAAATCAGCATGTTGGACAACTGTACACTCGTTCTAGTGAAACCCATACCTATTCACACTCACTGTAGATTACCCCCATTAAACCATATACCTACACATTTACTTTGCAGGGTTCACCAAACCACGCTACACCTGTCTCTGATGAAGTCCAATGAACTGACTTCAGTCAGGTAATGTCTCAGATTGCATATTTAAATGAATGTCCCCCTCCACTTTAACAATGTGTTTAGCTTATTGTTCCTTCTCTTGGATGTTTGAGCTTTACTGTGCAGAATGATGTATGTACTAGAAGGCTGTTTTTACATTCATCTCCTGTAGAGAGTTTTAACATGTACAGTATAAGCTAGACTCACAAGCCAGTGGCCACTCTCGCTGCCATTCTACTTTGCATTTAGAAATCCCCTGACAATTGGTAGGTGCTCCAATATCACAAGACTACATCACAACTAGTATGGAAGCCAGTCTGTACTATATCAGATTAATTATTAATATATTTTTCTTAATATTTGTCAGGAGGGGATATTTTATTATCTTACCCCTGCAGTTGAAATGCACAACTTTATCCCACATTATCACGGCAGTGGTCCTTTCTCTTGAAAACAAATAAAGCAGAAGTTGCACTGTTAAGATTGTCATACATAAACAAGATTTTGTTTCAAAGGCTTATGAATTTAATCAACAACTCTGGAGGAAGTAGTAAAGCCAAATGTTATTTGTCTAAGTAGCTGATGACAGCAGGAAAAATACTTGTCCTGCAGGATATAGGTGTTAATCTCTCCTCTCCTCTCCTCTCCCCCCCAGCCTTGTGGACTGTGCAGTAGAGGGGCACCAGCTTACATCGATGACAAGCATTATCCAGAAGTGTCCTTTACTGACAGAGCTAGAGTTAGTATTATAGTAATATAATATTCACATTCACTCAGTGTACGTATTTGTAAAAAAAAAAAAAAGAGAAACAAACATGTATGTTGTCATTATTCGTAGTATTTCTCACAACAGCCTGGGTATAGAGGGAGCTGAGTTCCTCTGTTCTGTTCTGCCTTTGCTGCCAAATCTCAAGTCTCTTGGGTGAGAACTGCACTTTTATTACTACTACAAATTGCCTGTTTTATAGTTGTAGCATGACAAGCATCTACTGTGATCTTTTGCAGTATTGGTTCCAAAGAGCCGAGTTTGACTGTGGTTCAGAAGCTCTCAGAGGCCTTGCTGCAGGCTACAGCCATTCAGTGCCTAAAGTGAGCAACACATACACATTTCATTACTTGTCTGGAGCATTCTCGTTTTGTTTCCTCTCACTGTCTTCATTAATAGTTTATTCTATCTGGGTATAATTGTCTAGTGCATTATAGGCCTTTCAGGTGGCCTGGGAGCATTCACAATCAAGCTTTCTCTTTAGTTATGGGCCAAGCATCAAACACTTGTATTGACGCTATAGACTTATTGTCATATCTCCAGTTATCTTGCAAATAATTCCGGTATTTCATGGCTCTTTTTTTCTACCTTGACACGCATGATAACTCTACCCCACATTGTTTTAATTTGATTGCATAACACAACATTCATAAATTGAAGTGAATTTCATGAAGTGAAATCTTCCTTTTTACTCTACCAGTCTGTCAGGTCATGTGATTGATGACACAGCAGCTCAGATTATGACCACAATGTTGCCCCGTCTACGGTTACTCAAGTAAGCATTTCACATTCAGCATAATAGTATTATAAGTAGGTGTGATAATGTCACAGGAAGTTATGGACATAATGTGGTTTGCAGAGAGTGTTTCAACCATCTCATAGAGCATATGAAACCTAGACAATGGTATCATTTGATTTGTCTTTTCTAGCCTGTCTCACTGTGCCTGGTCAGCGGCTGGAGGGCTGCAGCTCATCAAAGCACTGGGAGAATGTGTCAGTCTGGAGGGCCTTTGGTAATATATAAATTATAATGTATATATGTATATGATTGAAGACTGCAAAAGTGTCTTGAAGTTCTAAATGTGTCTTTGTGTGTGTGTGTCTGTGATTCTCTGAACACCCCAAGTCTGGACTCTTTGCAGCTGAATGAGAAGAGCATGATGTGTCTAGCACAAGCACTAAAGAATATCATCTCTATTTGCAGTCTCAAGTAAGAAACAGAATCTGGTTTACTGTAGCAGTCCCATTAGAACTGGATGTACCCAATCCCATATGAGAGTTTTTGACATAAGGTTTCACTCTTGGCAAGATCCTTTGTATCAAAATGTATTCAGAATCTGACCTTTCCAAGTGATAAGTATAATATGGCCTGTTAATAGCTATTCATTATGTGGCCCCTAAGGATTTATTTGCTGCACAACGTGGAGCTAAGTTTGCAAAGCTATTTCTGGTGGACGTCTTTACATTTACTGCGTCAGTCATACTGACACTCTTTACTCACACACATATCCAGCACCACTCTAATAATCTGGTCTATTTATGATAGCATGCATTTGCTGACACTGTCGCTGCCAAAAGGCTGCTTCGCTGCTCGAGTTACAGCCACCGTTGCTGCAGCTCGTCATTCCAACATGTCATCAGCTCCACATGAAGCTTATCATAATTCCCCCCTCCCCCCTTGGGGGAAATTACGACTCCCATTTCTCTCATAGTGATAACCTGTAAAGTGTTGCTCACTGATGAGTTGGAAGGTCAGAACTTTGATGGCAAATGCCAATGCTGTTTATACAGTTTGTAAATACATCATATCATATTTACATGGATTTATCCCCTCACTTAATACATTGGAAACAGGGGCGGACTGGGACAATAATTCAGACCGGGAATTTGATGCCATCCCAGGCCACCACCACCTGATTAAAGCAAAACACCAAGAGTGAGTTAGGTTGGTGATACTGATGTAAGAGTGTAAAATAATAAAGTTTCGGTTTCTTTCCCCTACAAAATAAATGTTTCTGTTGTGCTGCAATAACCTGTACTCAAATCACATAAACTGAAATTATGTTCACTTGCATTATGCAGGTGAACATAATTTCTATTTAATTTGCTACTACACTTTTAAAGTGCAGGCTACACATTTTATAGTGTAGTAGTAGATTAAATAAAATAGGTTACACCATCATCCACCTAAACTTGAGACCAATCCTATTTTTAATGTAACATTTGTTTTATTAAGTCAGTTTTAGCCCCATCAGCTTCCACAAAGTGGAACTAACCTCCTCATTAAGCTAGTCGTGCTGGATAGGCTATGATTGTGCGTCTGTTGTCACCACTAGTGTTTAATGTCTTAGCTGCTCCCATACTGACAAACATGTCAGTTATTTTACAGCACTTAGCTGCATTTGTGGCCAGTGCTTTTAGCTTTTTAAGCCTCTCCTTCTCTGCTCCACCTTTCCTCTTGGGCTGTCGATCTCGCTCCATTTTTCATAGCCATTTCGGTGGCCAGCCCACCGGGAAATGTCCCGGTGCTCCTGATGGCCAGTCTGCCACTGATTGGAACCAGTATGACTTGGTTGAACAGAACATTTGACCATTTGTTTGTCCAATGCTGTTTATACAGTTTGTAAATACATCAATCATCATATTATATTTACATGGATTTAACTTAATACATTGGAACCAATATTACAGTTTCACAGGGGGTCTGATTTCTTGGTTGAACCGTACTTTTGACCATTTGTTTTTTGTGTGTGTGTTTGCTTTTGCCAGGCTAAACAAGATTTCCACAGCACCGGGGCAATCAGGAGCAAATGGTTTATTAGATCTCCTCACTACCATGGAGGGACTCACACGAATGGAAGAGAGAGTGAGTTCTTCTCCACTGAATAAAGTACACATGGCTGCACATAAAACAAATGCTATAAACCTTATTTTAGTCCGTCATAAAAGAAACATTGCCATCGGTGATGCTGGATCATCTGTTGCTCCTCGTGTCATTTCGGGCTGGAGGATGGCTGATAGAGGAATAGAGCAGCTGACCAGAGTCCTTCCTGTCTGGACGGAGCTCAGGAAGGTCAGGTAGGAAGGAAGGCCCTGTTGGCAACAAAAAGGGTAGATGAACCCTTTGATAGGGTGCAAAGTGACATTCACTCAAAACATGCTGACCATTTTGTTGGACTGTCATCACCTTCTTTATGTGATCAGCTGTTTCCATTTGGCAGCTGGTTCTTACTTTCCAAGTGAGGGACTGACAGCCACAAAGCCTGATGGGCTTCATTAGCTAAAACTGTGGTTGTAATTATTTATTACATGCTGTATTACATATCTTGTACAGTGTCCTGTGGCTGTAAATTGCTTCCTGGCTCCTAATCAAGTCACTATGTAAAGAATTTCTGAACATTACTGACTTTAGCACCACCCAGTGGTAGTATCAGAAGACACTGTGGCAGACAGCAATGGATGCTGCCTGAGACAAAACAGAAACATCTTATTTTACATTTAATGTCTGTGTTTGTGTGTGTCTTCCAGTCTCTCTGAGAACCTTATAAGCGATGAATCAGACAAGCTACTGGAGGCTTTGAACAGCTGTAGTCACCTTGAAGAGCTCCAGTAAGGACATGATGACATTCCTTATATGGAGCTCATTCCTTTAGAGGCTGTTTTGGAAAATCAATGGAACACCTTGTAAGAGGTGACATGTAAAATTCGGTCACATATTCATTCACATTTGCTCTACTTGTATGCATGGCTAAAGAAGCTATATTATGTACAAAGGAAGAAAAAAGGGGACTGGAGCTCACTGATTTGTAATGCATAAATAATCAGCCTCGAGTATAGGTGCAATTGTCAATTGGATAATTGGTAGAGGATATCAAATCTATGGAATGATGAATCCAAGGTGGGAGTTGCCATGCACTATCATAACATCAGAAACAAAAGATAGAAGTGCAAAATGTACAATTATAAGTTAGAGGAGATGGTGGTGACATTTTTATCAGCTCAGTGTTTCCCCGATTACCTTCAAACGTTCTCTCAAAATCTGACACCTCATTTACACCTGGTATTAAACTGCAATCTGTATCCGGTGATCTTGCCTTCGGGTTACACCTGGTATTTTTTGATGCATTCTCGTTATCCTCATTGAGATTGGCTCGCTGTCCCCCAGAGCAAAACTTTCACCTGAGCAATTACAGTGCATACAGAAAGTATTCAGCGCTTCACTTTTTCCACATTATGTTACAGCCTTATTCCAAAATGGATTAAATTCATTTTTTTCCTCGAAATTGTACACATAATACCCCATAATGACAACTTAAAAAAGTTTGTTTGAGATTTTTACTAATTTATTAAAAATAAAAAACGAAGAAATCACTTGTACATAAGTATTCACAGCCTTTGCGATCAAGCTCAAAATTGAGCTCAGGTGCATTCTGTTTCCACTGATCATATTGAGATGTTTCTGCAGCTTAATTGGAGTCCACCTGTGGTAAATTCAGTTGATTGGACATGATTTGGAAAGGCACACACCTGTCTATATAAGGTCCCACAGTTAACAGTGCATGTCAGACCACAAAACAAGCATGAAGTTGAAGGAATTGTCTGAGACAGGATTGTCTTGAGGCACATATCTGGGCAAGGGTACAGATTAGCCAATTGTTTCAAAAATGGGTTCATTACTCAAAGCTTCAGTTACAGTGACCTGCAGTCAAATTAGGCAGGCTGGTTGGTGGACAGGAGGCTTTTAATTATATACTCGCTCTTGCTCTCGCTCTCTCTCCAGTGTTGGAGAAACTGTAGAAAACACCTTTTGTTCTGAAGCGTCTTTGCTTTGATTACCCTTGGATTTAAAGTATCCTTGCTTTGAAAATTTTTATCTATATCATGTTCTATTTACAAATAAAGATGATGAATGTGTGTATTGTGTTATTGAGGAGAGAATGCTTGGAAATATGGCATAGGTTGGGTGTGCTTGTGTAACTATGGCGGGGGGGATGGGGAACACTCAAAGGTTTTTATTATGGTACATCATTTATTCAACAGTTTTTGGGTTGAGCCGGTTTCTTTTCTTGCTCACAATTTCTTCACATTTGCGGTTAGAAAGTGTTAAAGGCGCTCAAATTCAAAACTGTCTCAACTTGTCACCTGTTCGAGACGAGGCAGTACCAGTGAATCTTTCTAAACCGTGTGATCGGGGAAGAGGGCGTTAGTTAGGGAGGTGACCAATAACCCAATGGTTATACACTCCAGGGTTTCTCTGTGGAGAGAGGAGAACCTTCCAGAAGGACAACCATCGCTGCAGGACTCCACCAATCAGGCCTGTATGGTAGAGTAGCCAGACAGAAGCCAGTCCTTAGTAAGAGGCACATGGCAGCCCGCCTGGAGTTTGCCAAAAGGCACCTGAAAGACTCTCAGACCATGAGAAACAAAATTCTCTGGTCTGATGAGACAAAGATCGAACTCTTTGGTGTGAATGCCAAGCGTTATATTTGGAGGACACCAGGCACCGCTCATCACCTTGCCAATACCATCCCTACAGTGAAGCATGGTGGTGGCAGCATCATGCTGTGGGGATGTTTTTCAGTGGCAGGAACTGGGAGACTAGTCATGATTGAGGGAAAGACGAATGCAGCAATGTACAGAGACATCCTGGAAGAAAACCTGCTCCAGAGCACTCTTGACCTCAGACTGGGGCGACGGTTCATCTTTCAACAGGACAACGACCCTAAGCACACAGCCAAGATATCGAAGGAGTGGCTTCAGGACAACTCTGTGAATGTCCAAGAGTGGCCCAGCCAGAGCCCAGACTTGAAGCCCATTGAACATCTCTGGAGGGATCTGAAAATGGCTGTGCACCGACGCTCCCCATCCAACCTGATGGAGCTTGAGAGGTTCTGTAAAGAGGACTGGGCGAAACTAGCCATAGATAGGTGTGCCAAGCTTGTGGCTTCATATTCCAAAAGACTTGAGGCTGTAATTGCTGCCAAAGGTGCCACAACAAAGTATTGGGCAAAGGCTGTGAATACTTGTGTACATATTATATTTTTGCAAACATTTAAAAATACCTTTTTCATGTTGTCATTATGGGGTATTGTGTGTAGACTTTTGAGGAAAAAAATTAATTTAATCCATTTTGGAATAAGGCTGTAACATGATGAAATGTGGAAAAAGTGAAGCGCTGTGAATACTTTCCGTATGCACTGTAGATTGGTGGCAGATCAGCCCCATGCTCCCTTAAAAAAACTGTGAATCAGAGGAAACTGTCTGGAGCAAATTCTTAATTATTTTTCCTCTTTTCTAAATTCAGCAGATATAATGAGTTATTCCTTTATTTATATAAAAAAAATTGTGTCAATTACTCCAAGTGTGTTGCAATCTGGCATGTTGGCTACTCTGTTTCTAGATAAATTATATCCATTGTTAAAAGCAGATCAGCACAGATCAGTGAAACACACACAGTTGCACACAGTTATTTCTTATTGTATATCATTCGTTTTTCCCACTCGTATTGCTTTCCTCTTTCCTGCACTTGGTTTGAATAAAATATCTTTTGGCTTTTTCATGACACAGAATAGACATATAATTTGTAATTGTGTGTCTCTGTCAGTCTTCCTGCTTGCTCACGCTAAAAACAAATAGTCAGTTATGTTGTGTACAGATGGCAGCATGTTGTACAGATTTCACACCAACCTAAGATCTGCATACAGTGCGAGCCGGATGGGATCAGGATGATCACGTTTCGATCCCAACGCATTTACACCTTGTATTAACTGCCATCACCTTATCCATTATCTGGACAATGTGTCCGGTACACATAATTTTATTACCAGTTCTAAATCGGGTGTGAGAGACTGACTGGTTCATTCTGACATCAGAAAACAAACCCTGTCTCCTGGTTGTCTTGTTAACCTACAGGGTTTTCCACTATGGCCTCTGTGCACAAGGTTCTAACAGTGGCAGACAGTTTGACATCATTAATATAATATACCCCTTACAAATGATACCAAACGTGGTATAAAATATTGACAATTGCAAAATGTTTTTTTTGTTGGTGGTGGTCTTGCAGTCTTCTGTAGTAAATGTTATAGGCAACTGCAGCTTTTTACTCTTGGCCACAAGTGCCATCTTGTGGCCAAAAGCAATATAGCACCAGATTCAACTGCACACTGCTAGTGTTCCATATAATCTTAAAATTTTGTCTTATTTGTTATTGTATTATTTTTCTCGTGTGTACTGTGGTTAAAGAGAAGAAAGTATTTTCTCCTGCATCAGTAGAGAATTAAAACATGTGTTTGTGTGGTCCTCCAGTATGGCCACTAACAGTCTGGGTGATCTCACTGCTGCAAGAATGGCTCTTGTTCTACCATCACTGACACGCATCTCTGTGTTGGAGTAAGTCACACACACATTAAAAATCTCTTACTGACATTTTTTACATTTGTCAAACTTGCGGTTAGATAATCTTTAGTACAATAATAATACAATGTACAATAATCTTTATTCATTTAGGCAGTGGTGGAAAGTAATGAAATACATTTAAGTTCTGACTAATATTAAATAAGACTTACAGCACATTTTCCTGATTATAGTCAGATACTTTCACTTAGAGGACCAGTGTGTAGGATTTAATGGCATCTAGTAGTGAAGTTGCACATTGTAAGCATTTGAATACCGCTCAGCCTTCCAGGTGTGTAGGAGAAACTGTGGCGGTAACAGAAAACATGAAAGACCCTGTCCAGAGCCTTAGTTTGTCCATTCTGGACTACTCTGTAGACAGAGTCATTCTAAGCTAATGAAAACACACCTATTCTTATTTTCAGGTGATTATACTCTAATGAAAACATGTGTTACACACTGGACCTTTAAGTAGCATTTTTACTTCTACCGGTTTTTACAGTGTATATTTTAAGTCTGAATATGTTTTTTCTCCCAGTCTGGAATCAAACAGTGTGAGTGGGGTTGGAGCTGAGGCCCTGGTTAGAGCCTTAAAGTCGTGTCCTGCTCTGCAGCTCATCAGGTAAAGTGTCAACATGTTTGGCTCCTTCAGGCACCTGTAGATTTAGTTTCTCACCTATACTGTCTTCTGATAGCACACTGAATACTGTCACTTTGCTAGTTCATCATGTCTTGTTAATTTGGATTTTTAAAATGTGTTTAAACATTGAGAATATTACATTTGCCTCCACTGTGATTTCAGGCTGTGGAGGAACTAAGTCCCACCTAGTGAAGCCCACAGGCTCAGTCTGAGAGACAGGAGGCTGAATTTCTCTCCTACCTAATGTGGTCTGCATTGTTGGACAGTGGCAGTGCAAAGCAATATTCCAGTTCATGGGAATCTGCAGAGATGAGTGACTGCTTCAGTGGAGTTAAAATGTGTTTTCCCTGCAGTAAGCCCATCAGAAAAGCATGACAGCAAAAGAGGTCCATATACAATGTTTTGCTATCAGTTGTGTATCCAATGACTGCAGCAGCTAGTGTCTAGTATGAAGGGTTAGAACGCCACTATGTGGTCCACTATTTGGTCCACTATGGGGGAGGACTCCTTTAGATGTACATTGTTTGAATATATAGAAGTTAGTATAGAGTTCTCATCCTTTTTGTATTCCCCTAAAGTATTTCGATTTTTTTAATCTCAAGAGCTGCTTGAGGGAAGTGATTGAGTACTTGAGTATTTAAGTACATATGAATGTTAAGGTATTATATTTTGGAAAGCAAACATCTGTTTTTATGCTTATATAAATGAATGACTATGCACTGACTGACCTCTAGTGTCGCGATGGTGAACTGGCGTATTGAGTTAAGTGCAGCAGTGTTGCTGCACTCTTCACGGTGACACGGTGTCTCTTTTTCCATGGTCTATGATTGGTATGGCGATCCTGACGTAGGTGTATTAACACCCTAATCTTAACTAATGTGTCACCAACTGTGACAGACAGCTGGCTGACAGGACACACAGACGGCCATCCTTATATGGCTGCCTTTATACTAATCTAATTATATGACAAAAATGTCATAAAGTCGCTGCTCAGTAACTGCAGTACAGCAGTGTTCCTATATGGTGAATTCAAACTGAGATAAAGTTGGAGTTGCTGTGGGAATATTCTAAAATGATCAAAATAAGCATCAAGAATGATTTTACAGCAACTACTTTAATCACTAGAATAAATTTATGATTCAGAAATTAACATAACATACATAAAGTTCCCATGTATGCACCAGAAATAGATTTGGCAGAATAACCACTGAAGAAACAAAACACTAATTTGAGGTTGTCTGAGACACACTTCTTTATTTTTCTATTTTCTATGTGTGTTTCTGTTGGCAGCTGTAGGTAGGTCGTTCCAAACTGTACATACTGTTCAGTAACACGAACATTGATATCTGATAATGATATAGAGGGACAACCCACAGAGCACATTCTTCAGGATCAGCTGCACCTGTTCAGTCGCGTCACTGCTGTCTCCACTCAGTCCGCCACCCTTCAGCGCCGTGACCTAGAGGCCATGTTGTGAAGGATTCCTTGGTTTCCAACAAGGTTTCCTGAAGATGAGTTGCTGTGTGTATGCAGACTTGGATACTCTGTCACTTTACACTGTAGACTGTAGCACTGTCTTTAGTAGAGGCCACATATGTGAAAACACAATAAATCATGAACTCACAGTGAAGGAAGAGTTCAGAGGGAGCAGCCCCCCCAGTTTAGGTTGTGGTCTTTTTCCAATATGCATATTTATTTCTGCTGTTAACTATGGTGGCCGACAAGGGCAAATGCGCCGCAAACGGCAAAACGCTGCAAACACGGGAATGATGCAAAACCAAAAACACACAAACACATAAAAACAAGTGCAACAAAAAAACGCAGCGACAGAAAAATGCTGCAATCACAGAAACGAAGCAGAAGCAAAAACTTCCCACAAAACAAATGCCAAAGAAAAATGCTGCAAATACCAAAAACACACAAAACCCCAAAACAACTGCAAGATATAAACGCTGCAGATTCACTTTACAAAACGGAAGTGCGCCAGGTCACTAGGGGGACCCTACCTGAGGGATGGACCAGTCCTGTGGGACCAGACCCGAAAGACATGAAGAAGAAGAAAGTTGGCTAAGTTAAGGACAGTAAAAAGTACGCTTTCCTTTTTGTCTTTTTTAAACACTTGGCCGTAATGTTTTTATAATATTATAATGATATATTATTATATTATAGAAGAATTACGGCCAAATGTTTAAGAAAGACAAAAAGGAAAACGTACATTTTTACTTTTTACTTAGCCAACTTTATTTTTCTTCTTCATGTCTTTTGGGTCTTTTTAATGTTTGTATCCAGGTTGAAGTGTCAGTTCTCACATGACAAACTGCTTTTATCATTAACATTCATTCATTCTGAAATGCACTGACATGTCTATTGACAATAAAAATAAATAAAATAATGAAAGACTATCTTGAGTTTTGACCTTTATTTGCACTTCAGTTCACTTTTTCTTACTTTCTTTCTTCCTTTCAACAACAGTGTAGATATGCACAACATTTCCTGATAAAATAAAACAGGCATTTGTTTGCCTCTGATAGTATATTGAATAGTATTTTTATAATTTATAATTTTTCACAAGCCGTTTAAGGTACAGTATTTTACACATGTAGCAATGTTTGTTTTGCACACCACCATGTTTACATAACTAAGAGTCGATTAAGAGTTGGTTACATATTTTGCTATTGAGTTACAATGAGATATCATTATAACCTCTATATCCTGTTGTACTCTTTAACACCTTGCACAAAGCATGTTTTATACCCCCCCCCCATCATTCTGACAACTGCCATGAAGAACAGCTGAAATGACAGCTGGGCCTGAAAACACAGTCGCAGGACTCACGTTCATTTATGTTCGTCTGGCACTCTCTTGTGGTTAAAAATTTGTGGTGCAAACATGGTGCTCTTTCTGCTCCTTTCTTTTATTAACTTAGAGCTTGTAAAGCGGCAGTGTGAGGCTGTACTGCTAATATGCTGATGTTTAGCATGTAAAATGTGAGAATGGCATTAGTGTTGCAGGCATTTGGTCATAAACTAAAGTACAGAATTGGGCTAATTAAAATGAGCCTAACAGGTGTTTGACAAATGTACAAATTAATGCAGATATTTAGATGATGAAAAAAAATCCCCCCTCTCCGTAAATAAATAATCTAAAACAATATTAATACATTTTTGTTATAAAATATTTTATTTGTAGTTGAGTGATTTTCAGATACTCAGTGACACTTTACATTACACAGTCTGTACTGTCAGAGGCTGTACTTAAGCACAGTGGTGCTTTCAGCTAGCTAATGCCAATGTCAGCATGCTAACATGCTCTCAGTCATACTAATATGCTGGTGTTAAGCATCAGCATATTAGCATTGTCATTAGCATATGTTATACCTAATTAACCCTCTTAGATTAATAGGTATACCATGTATAATATGTTAGCGTACTAACATTTGGTGATTAGCAAATAACAAAGCTGAGAATGATGGGAATGTCATTAGTGTTGCAGGTATTTGGTCCTAAATCAAATTTTGGGACAAAGTAAAAACGTCAAGTGACATCCTCTTGTGACTACAAATGTCAGTACAAAATGCTATGGTGATCGATCTGTAGTTTTTGAGGTATTTTTGGCAGGACCAACATGGTGGACCAATCAGTCAACTGCTTTGTTTAGTGCCTGGTAATGAGCAGAAGGACAGGTGTAATTCAGTGTCAGGGTGTTGACATTTAATGGCCACCATCTCCGGTGTATCAGTCCAATGACTATTCAAAAATGCCTTTAATATTCACTCAAATTCAAAAGTGGCATATAGTGACCTAGTCTAATGGTGGATAAAAAAGTGAGTCACACTGGAGAGTAGCATGGCCAGTGAGTATTAGTCATCCAACAACCTGCTTTCAAGGACCCAGAGCAAATAACATGACTCTCACAGTGCTTTACAGACACCCACGCTTTCTGATCTGTCTGTGTGATGTCCCAGCTATTTTTTGGGGAGATGAGAACTCATCACTTGTAAACCTCAAAGCTGGATTGACTTGCAAAAAGTAGTTGAGAATGAGGAAAATGAAGTTAAAGTGTTCAAATGTTAACGATCTATAATAATCAAGCGTGAATCCAATGGACGTGAGGGGTCACTCATAGTGCTGTAATCAAAGTGAGACAACTCTGCAGCTTTACTGAGCCTCTTGGCCCCTTTTAAAACTTTGTTTTGATTTTACGGTACATTTACCATTTGGGTCAGTCTCTCAATAGTGTACTCTCACCAAACCCTGACTGAGCTAAAAAGCTCTGAAACCCAGTGAACATTACCTGCCCAGCACCAGTGGTAGACAGGCAAAGTTGGCAATTAGTTCTGGAAGAAAGATGCCAAAGGCCCACACATTTATAGCGACATGGCTCTTGTGATGGCTTTTTTTAAACAGTTGTGATGCTACACTGGATGGTGTTTCTGACTAACTTTTGCATTGCATTGCTCCATTGTTTCATATTTTGCAGTTTACAATAAACAGTTATGGCTCTTGTATTTAATTACTGGTGATAAGATGGACAAACCAAATCCAGCAGAGTGATAAATGCAATCCATGCAGCCAGAGACTAGACTGGGCTCATGCTCAATTGAGTTGGTACAGAAATGACAGAGAAAGCTGGATGTGGAGGAGTTGAGAGACAAGCCTGCACTGACGCAATCAGAAACCTGCATAATGTGCACATTGTTTAAGGTTGTTATGTTAATTTGAATGTTAGAATAATGGGATGATATAACTAGGTTACTCTGTCTCATGTAAACAATATCTTGAATGTGAGTAGATTCGATTCGATTAGATATTCCTTTATTTGTCCCACAATGGGGAAATTTCAATGTTTCAGCAGCAAAGTGGATAGAGAAAAGAACAGTATAAAAAACAGTATAAAAAAACAGTAGGAGTAGGGAAATAATAAAAATACAATGCACAAGGAAAAAAAACAGTAAGAATCACAACCAGAATAAGACTTTCTAGAATTAGTTAAATGCCCAATTCTCTTCTGTGCAGTTTGATGTTAAAAGTTAAAACTGTCATCTTTTGTGCCTTTTCAGTAAACCCTCACTGTTCCACTGCATCTACAGGCACAGCCACAGTCCACTTGAATCAAATGTGTTTTAAGACTCTTAATCTCTCCTTGTTTCTTCTCATTTAGCTAGGGCGCACTGAAACAGCTGTGAACAACTAGAACCCGGTGTTTGGAGTGAAGTTTCAGGTGGACTACCACTTTTTAATAATTTGACCCGCTCCATCCCGCCCGTACAACCGCATCTATTTTCACAACGCGCCCCATCCCGCCCCGCTGCTATTAAATACACGTTAGATATGTCATTGAATAAGGCTTTTATTTGGTCTGACAAATGTGCTTGAAAACAGCCCTTCGAGTGGCACTGGAAACTGGCAAAAACAACTTCAAATCTTAATAAAAATAAATATATATATATATAGGCGCTTAGTTAACAGTGTTGTTAAAAAGTAGGCTGTATTGGACATATTTAATCCTTAATGACCCGCCCCACCAATAAAGTGAACATTTCTGGACCTGACCCAACCCGACGGGTCGGCCCGCGCATCACTAGTAAGGAATGATTTCTCCTCTTCAGTCCAAAGTTGGTTCTGTATTAATTTCTGTACTGAGTCTCCAATGTGACTGTGTTCTGGATGAATTAGCACACTCAGTTCTGTGATAATATCATATTGTTGTAAAACAACAAATACCAACACATTCTGACCAGTCATGACTATTGTAACAGTAAGATGTCTAGCTGATGGCAGAGCTGTGTGGGAGAACTGATCTAATTAGCACCACTATGTAAGTAGCAGTCAATGTTTGTCAGACTGCTGTAGAATAACATTTTCTTCCAGCTCTGTCAGTCCTTCATGCTGTATGTTACATTATTCAGCTATTTGGTAAAATGTAGGCGTAAGGTGATCAGAAGCAACAGATGTCAAGCTGCACAACATGACACATTCCCACCTCTGGTGTAGTCAGAAAGTTAAAAGACGCAACAGAGTCGAAGCACTTCATTGTTGCTCGTTTAACGTGGAAGGTCAACAGTGGAAGAGAAGAAGTTAGCGTGGGAACTGGATAACTACTAAATTAAACTAGAATGATGGGTTCAAACCTATCTTTCTTTTGTGTTTTGTCGTTCTGAAGTGATTCCTGTGTGTCTCTCTTAAATTGTCCGCTAGATTGTGTCCAATAAGAAACTTCACAGACCGTTGATCTTAGCCAATGGGAAGCCAGCAGGCAAAGGATCCATTACGGTAAGACACTGTCTTTAAAAGGTTCTCTCTCTCTCTCTCTCTCTGTATACAACCTCTCTTTCTTCCTGCCTCTCATGTTGACACACACACACACACACACACACACACACACACACACACACATACACACACACACACACACACACACACACACTGTACCGTATCATCAGAGGTTGCTGTAGCTGTCCAAGTGGACGCAGTCGCTGTTGTTTACTATAATGGCATGTTTGCTGTTGTGGCTGTTGTTGATGATGATGATGACAGTGATGACGGAGATCTTACAGAGGCGGCTGCTGTTGCTGTGATGACTGCTATTGTTGCTGCTCCTCCTGCTGATGTTGAATGTTAATACCTGTATTTTTGTTGCAGCTAATGTCGTGCTGTAATATTATTTTAGATAACAGCTCAGGAGCTGTCTGACAACAGAATCATCACTTTGAGCCTGAGTGGGCGTACACTGGGTAAGAAGGTAGGCACACACACACACACACACACACACACACACACACACACTCTCTGGATGCAAATGCAAGCACGCACACACACTCAGAGTGCATACTGCTTTAGGAGGCACAAGCAAAGCCCACACAGACAACATTTACTGTAGATGTTTTCACATCCTTCACCTTTGTCTGCTAACTAATGGGCTGTCAGGCGCACAGATAGTGGGAAATGAAAATCGTGCAATATATGTATTTATTTATAAGAGTTCATTTTCAATCATGGACCTATGGAGTAGCTGCTGCTGAAGAGAAGAATGACAGTGGGTCAGGAACAGCACGGCTTGAATTGTGATTTGAACTAATGCTGATGTGTGCCTGCTGCGCACCCTCTGGTTAAACTACCAGGGTACACACAAAGCGCAGTAATTGCTGGAACTCTTTTAATACAAATGTTAATTAAACAAAATAAAGACTTGCAATTTGATTTACTATAAACATTTGTAGTATTGTGTGTTGCTGTTTGGCTAAGGAGAGGAGAAATTAGGATAAAACAGGATTCTAGCCCCTTCAAAAAGACTTCACAACAAACTGTCTCCATTCTGTGCAGGACTTCTTTGGGAAGTCAGACCCCTACCTGGAGTTTCACAAACAGGGAGAAGACGGCAAATGGATGCTGGTGCACAGGACAGAGGTGAGTCATCGGTGGGGATTAAAAGCACCTACATCTGGGGGGCGCTAGCGAACAGTGACGTGAGGACGTGTTTGTGCAGAACTCCTGACCGGAGCGAACTCTTAAAAAAAAAATACTTTTATAAAACAACTTCAGGCAGACCATGGTTGCCTCTGATAACTGAATAACACCAGTGTATCATACTGAAAGCTTCATCTTTACATATTATACGACTAAACGACAAAATGCCTCGAGTAAATCGCCACAAGAAAGAGGCCGCTGCTAAAGCCTCGAACCCAGCTGAAACCACTTCCGCAAATGAGGAATCTTCATGTAGCCCTGTATAAAAATCATATAAATTACAGAGCATAAAATTTTTTTAACCGTATAATAACATGCTGTATTAAAAAAAGTTCATAAATAGAGTTCATAATATTTAAAAATTGTTAAAATGTGTGCCGGTTAAAAGCATAAATATAATATGTAAAGTTTAATAAATAAGACTATTTACAGTTAAGAGACAAATTCATAAAAAGTTCTTTAAGTTCATTAAGTCTGTTAAAATATCTGTGATCCGAGAGAAAAGAAGAGAGGAAGAAGCCGTGTTTACATGTGTAATCTAACCTGTTACCTATCACATGTCAATCATTTCATTCCTGTTTTGCCTTTGGTTGTGTTAAAATTCACGAGCCAATCACAGTAAAGTCTCTGTGTAAGGAGCGGGATTAGTGGCGCAGGTTAGTGTGGGGAGTAGTGAGCAGCATGAGGAGAAAAACAGGCGCTATCGACCAGAGAGCTAAGAGAGGAGGCATCGTGGTGTGGGGAGCATTTAAGTTTTATCGTGGAGGTCGACTACTCGTGGTCCTGATATAAACTTCTGTGTGACCTGCAAGAGGTGAATATGATGTGTATGCCTGTATTTTGTGCTATATCTAACTGTTATAGTTTAAAGAAACTGGATGTGTAACGCGGTTAGCGACGTGCTAACTAGCGGTAGCATTCGGTGCTAATGTGCCTGTATATCGTAGCTGTAGCATTGTGATATTTCTGAAGCTAAAGCAAGCTAATGTTAATTCGACATGAGATAGTGTTTGATATTGTGGCTCAATTCGGATAATATGCTTTAAGGAGACGGACGTTGGAGAGAGAGACAGGTTTCCAACCGATGGCCCTGCTGTTCGGCTGTGTTCGGCCGTGTTCGGCTGTGTTCGGCTGTGTTCGGCCGTGTTCTGTCCTGCTGAGTACTAACATACATATGCACGTGCTTTTATTTTGTGCTCAGCTCTGAGTGAAGCGGCCATTATAGTTTTCAGGCCCCAGGCACACACACAAGCTTCAATAAACAGGCCTGCAACGGGTTAAAATCTCATTTAAAGTGTGTTTCATATGAATGTGTGTGGGCCCACAGGTAACATACTGAGTTTTGAGTTGGTGTAAATTAAAGAATACTGTTTTGAAGGTAATTTAAAGATTCTGAGAAGGATTAAATATTATTTATTTTAAATGATATAAAACAAAAGGTTTTCTTTTGAGAGGTAGTGTTTTGCTTGTAACAAAAGTATTAAAAAGGTACTGAAGGTATTTAACTAAAGAGTATCTAACAAAAAGGGTTTTTCTTTTTAAGTTAAAGAAAAGGTGTGACACCAAAAACAAACTGAACTTTATTTTGAAAATCTCTTTATGTACATTTGGGTAATTCTGTGCAATTTCATTATTTTATTTTGTACTAAAAATACATTCAACATATTTTATTTTGTGAATAAATACCTGTGAAGGGATTATTGCATTTAAAGAACAGTTGTGGTGGTCATTATTAAAATAGCAAACATTATTAAGGGTACACATTCTTAAAGTAACATAATAAAAAGTTGTATTTTTCCTACAACGAGCCCAGGCCCAGTCTCATTGTATTAACCACTCTAGCTTTATTTTTTAACTACATGGGACCTGGGTTACGTTCAGACGAGGAGACTACAGACCTATCTGCTGTCATGGCCACAATTGCAAGCAGTGAAAGCAGGATTTTGGCACCGTTAGACTCAAGTACAGCTGACTTGAACACAAAGATAGACTCGGTCCTGTTCGCTCGCTACTATTGTAAACGAGGTCGCCATGTTAAAAACGGAAGTCACCTCACTCCACCAGAAAGTGGAAGAAATCGAGTGGGGGGCAGCGCCGACTTAGTGCACATCTGGTCGGAATAAAAGAAGGTTTTTAATCATGTGAGGGACAGCGGCCCACTGCGAGTATTGCTAAACTACAGCAGGAGCTGTTGGGCCTTAACTTCATCCCAACCCTGGATGCAGCATATCGCGGCACCCGACATACTAATGAGGGAGGCCCTCTCAGAGTCATCGTGATCAGATTCCGCTACCTACGGGAACGGGATAAGGTCTTCCGTACAGCGGCCTGCTTGGCACCACTGACCCTGCACGGCAAGAGTGAGCATATTTCCAGAAGCCCAAGGACACTGTAAGTTGATTTAACCAACTGGACAATGGAGACTAGTTGTTGATAACGAACTGGTGAGTCCAATGTGAAAGAACTGAACACCAGGCTTTATTTTTCACCTATTTGCTTATTCACTTTCCTTTTTTACAATGCCCATAACAATGAGGCTCTCAGGTAATATTGACACTTTATATTTTATGGATGCTTAATGCCTGGTGTTTAAGCCACAAGACATAGACTCTATTCCTCTCTCTCCTATTTTATTCCTTTTTTTGTGTACGCATGCAGCCTATGTGGTTGTGTGTATACATATGCATACCATTTGAATATGGTGCCCTTATAATGTGTAATGTAAAAAAAATGTAAACACCATAATAGCTGTTGGTACTAGGATTGGCGCTTCATGAATATAACATAATCCTTCTAAGTTGTTTTTATTTTATAGCTATTTATATTTTGCTAAATTTAAAACTTGAGACCCTCAGGGAATCTTGCCACTTGAATCCACTATGAATATTTGAAACTCAACGCCTGCTATATAGAGTGGCTTTTTCTTTTCTTAAGTACATCTGAGTGGGTATTTATAACATTTTGAGACTTTTAATTTCTATTAGACATACAGATATAGCAGAGGGATGTCTGTTAACATGAAGTACCTGGAGAATGATTTAAAGGAGAGGAGCTGGTCATACAGAGGTACCTTGGTTTCTGTTGTTGGCTACATGTATATCATTGTTATTCTAAGTTCAATCCAATTTGTACATATCATGGTTCCCGGTTAGGGCCTGTTAGGAGGATAGGTTAGATGGTTATCTGCAGCACAATGCTAGAAGAGATGTGTGTGATCTCGACAGGTTCAGTAGATCAGCATAGGGATTTAAGGCTCAGTTTTAGTTTTATAGTTAGACAGGGACGTTTTCTTGCTTTCTTATTTTTCTTATTTATCCAAAAAGCGCAATGTCTGATACACAAAAGTCAGGCTATATTAGTTTTTTGAGTTGGAACATAAAGGGGATCCATAATCCAGCGAGCGAAGTAGGGTGTTTGCGCATATGAAAACTAAGTGATGTCATGTTTTCTACACTGGCACGTTTTTCATTATTTTTTTTAATGCGTTCTGCGGAGAAGGGAGACTGGCATAGGTCACGGTTTGGAATGAAAGGGAGAAAACACGATAGAGTAACACGGCGGATATCGCTGATATTGCTCATATCACTCGGCCTACTTTTGTTTTTTGGTTTTTTTGGATGACGTAGTTAAGACGGCAGGCCTGTGTTGCTAAGGCGGGCGCCTTAGCTGCAAAGTGCTGCGGGAAACCCTGTCCACAGTTCACCACTCTTTTTCTAGGATCGACTTCTTCCTTGTAGATAGCAGAACTCTCCCGATGGTCAAGGATAGCCAGTATAATAGCATTGTCATTTCTGACCATGGCCTGGTACAGCTGGATATATGTTTACCAGAGTGCATCAGACCACACGTGGCGGTTTGACCCTCTATTGTTATCTAGGGACTCTATCTCCCAACAAATTGAGTTTTCAAATAGTTTTCTGGAATTCAATCACACACCTGATATGCCACTAACCACTGTGTGGGAGGCTCTCAAGGCCTATCTCAGGGGCCAGAAAATATCTTATACCGCCCATGAGAGAAGGAAACGCAAACAACGCTTGAGCGACCTATCTTGCAGCATAGCGGAGGTGGACTGTAAATATGCTGACGCTCCAACGCCCAAGCTCTACAGAGAAAAATTACTGTTAAAAACTGAATTCGATAACCTCTCTATTAAACAGACTGAAGAGTTTATTTTTTAAATCAAAACAAAAATTTCATTAAAACGGGGAGAAGGCTGGTAAGCTTTTCGCCCACCAAATTCGACAGTCCGCAGCTGTAAGTACTATTCCTGAAATCCGAACAGAGCTGGGGGAGAAAACCACTAACCCTAATACAATAAATTATGAATTTAAACAATTCTATATGACCCTCTATAGGTCGGAGCCACCAGACGACCCGTCAGATATTACTACATTCTTAGAGGGGCTGACCATCCCAACGATAACCCCAGAGGACAGTTTACAGATAGATGGAGAGATTACAGCGGGCGAAGTAATGCAGGCAATTAAATCAATGCAAATTTGGGTTTGGATCATCATTCTTGACCTGGATCAAAATAATATATGATGCACCCACTGCAGCTGTGCGGACCAATAGCAATATTTCTGACTATTTCCCCCTTTACAGGTCTTGTAGACAGGGCTGCGGCCTCTCCCCATATCTGTTCGATCCAGCGGTCGAACCCCTCGCTATAGCCCTTAGAGCAGGATAGGGTATTACCATTATCTCCGGTGGTCCACAAAGTGGCGCTATATGCGGATGACCTGCTTTTGTATATATCCAACCCGACAGTATCAATACCAAAACTTTTATTGATGCTAGAAAACTTCAGACACCTCTCAGGCTACAAATTGAACTACTCAAAAGAGCCTGCTTTTTCCAATTGACCGCACAAACAGAGATTATTCACAATGTCCGTTCAATATAGAACGTGATATGTTTACATATCTAGGAATTAAAGTTACCCATGAGATGGAGAATTTGGAGAAACACAAGTTTAAGTCATTATTATAACAAACAAAACAAGATCTGGTCAACATTACCGACCTCATTAGCTGGTCGCATTAATATAGTTAAAATGACAGTCCTACCTAGATTTCTGTGTTTCAGATGATCCCCATGAAAACATTTAAACAGCTAGAAAGACTAATCTCTTCATTTATATGGAACAATTCTAATCCTAGGATGAAAAAAACTTACCTGGAGGTTCCTAAAGATGCTGCTGCATCTCCTTGGAAGTCTAAAATGAAGAGACCAACACTCAGTTTGTTTCTAAATACAAAGTATACAGACCTCCTAATGTCTGTAGCTTACATGGTGAGGATTACACAGGACCTGTGTTTCAATACTACTTAAAATCATTCTCATGAGTTCATACTTCTACATCATTGGAGAGCAAAATTACCTCTGGTATGATGACTGCAAAGGAACTGCATTCGTCCACGTCAGCAGCCTGACGCAGCATCTCTTTGGAAGTCTAAAATGAAGGGACGAACACTCAATGAGAGTTTGTTTCTAATGTACAAAACTAACAGACCTCCTTACATGGTGAGGATTACACAGGAATGAAATATACATTGCAAAAAGTTATAAATCTAGATTTTAAAGTTTTAAGTTAACTTCTAAACAATTTCATTCATAACAGGGATAAGTTAGGATCAAATTCTTATCTTTTGATTACACTGTTTTTTGGTCAACAGGACTGTGATCATGATCTCGTCCCTGAAGAAATGTCAAGTTTAGAAAAATGTGTCACATGTGGAGGACCCCTTTCACCTCTGAAATGGTCTGGTGTGATGTGTAAAGGTAATTTTTTGAGAAGGGAAGGGGGGTCCATCCATATCTTTTGAACATGATGCCCCAGGAACACTTTTTAAAAACGGTTCCATGTGTAACTCTGCTATATGTTCAAGATGAGCCATTTGCAGCTGCACTTACTTTTTAAGTACTTACTATGATATTATTAACTATCTTCCTTTTTTAATTCTTAATTTTCTGTCTAGTTTGCTACGAGTCCTGGCACAAAAAGTGTTATGTTAAGCACAAGGTGAACATCACTGAACCTCTGCCAGTGGTAAGTGTTTTAGTAGAATTATTCTCAGTGAAATGCTTTCCAAGTACACAAAATATAAATGTATTTTTTAATCATTATCAGGTCTGTGAAGAACAAAGTTCAAGTGAGGTGGCATCATCAGAAATGTGCCTGATTCCACAGCTGATTCAAACAGCTCATGGGACGGCATTGCACAGCCTTTAAAAATCAGTCGCAGACATTTAGAATTAGAGTTTTGAGGTGTCCACCAGCAAGCCTGCTTCAAAAAAGAAAAGACACCACCAAGAAAGTTTTGTAGAGGAAGAGAGTCAGTTTCTGAAGCTGCAGAATCATTATCTGAAGATGCAATCAGCGCAAGTCAGCTTAAAGTATCAGGAGTTACTGCCAAAGTAGGAAATGCTGATGCTGAAGGCATAATTGTTGATGATAGCGCTGATGCTGGGGCTGAACAGGTCTCAAACACATCATCCTCTCTCAAAAATACATTTGTGGAAAATTGCAAAGTTTACACGTCACCTAAAACGTCACGAGAAAACACATGCAGATGTTGCTCAAGTTTTAAGTCTCCCCAAGAAGTCCAAACAGCGCGAGAAAATGCTTATAAAGCTACACAACAAGGGAAACCACATCCATAACGCAGAGGAGTTGGATCGCTAAAACTAAGACGCACAGCAAAGACAAAATACAATGCAAAAGACTATATTCACTGCATGTACTGCCAGGCATTATATCTCTGAAGAGATCTGTGGCAACATGTTAGAAAATGTTCTTCAGAACCAGTAGAAGCCAATTCAGAGATTGGAAGAAAAAAGGTCATGTCTTTGGCCTCTATAAATGAGTCAGCAAATATCCCCAGGTGTTTGGAAGATGTTAGCTGTCATGAAAGATGATGAGATAACTGCTACTGTGTGAAGTGACTTCTCTATTCTTCAGCTGGCCCTGTCATTTTTGGACAGGATCCCACCAAATATGACTATTTTCGCCAGACACTCAGAGAAAGTGGAAGACTTCTGCTTACGCTTCGCAAGGAATTCTCAATACATACTCTTGACGATGCTGTGAGACCTGCAAATTTTGATGTGGTGATCAAAGCTGTCAAGAAAGTGTCTGGTTACAATGACGAAAAGCACTGCTACCGTACTCCAAGCCTTGCATTAAAGTTGGGTCACTCACTGGAGAAAGTCAGTGACATTTTACATTGCAGAGCACTGATGGCACAAGACAGTAACCTGATAAAGTCAACCCAGAGTTTCAAAACCCTCTATGCTACAAAGTGGACTGATCTCATCTCCCACACCGCTTTAACTACGCTGAATGAGCGCCACTTTAACAAGCCTTCCACTCTTCCTTTTACGGAAGATGTTCAGCGTCTTCATCAACATCTGGAGAAGACTACAGAACAAGCATTGAAGGACTTGAAAGACCACAGTTCACCAAAATCATATAGTGAACTTTTTAAAGCCACCATGGCAAATGTAATACTTTTTAACGGGAGAAGAGGGGGGAGATATTTCAAAGATGACGCTGAATGGCTTTCTGGAGAGACACAAGTGCCCTGCACAAGGATGTCGCTTTTGGACTGACACAATTTGAACTTCACCTTTGTCAACACTTAAGTCGTGTTAAATTAAGGGGTAAAAGAAGGCCGGAAAGTTGCAGTGTTACTTTCACCAGACATGGTGAAGGCCATAACACACCTAATAGAGAAAAGAAAAGACTGGTGTTCTGGCAGAAAACCTGTTCCTGTTTGCCAGACCTCATTGTCCGACTCCCTCCAGAGGACAGGACTGTTTGAGGCTCTATGCGAGTGAATGTGGGGCTGAAAACCCTGAGCTCCTCAGGTCGACGCAATTACGCAAACATGTCACAACTTTGTCACAGATCTCGAACCTCAAGAATCATGAGTTAGACCAGGTTGCTGACTTCCTTGGCCACGATATTCGCGTTCATCGGGAGTATTAGCGACTTCCAGAGGCTACTACCCAGCTGGCCAAAATCTCCAAACTACTGCTTGCCATGGAGAAAGGGTCCCTCAGAAGCCTTCAAGGCAAAACACTTGAGGAGATGAAATCGAAGGTAATGCCATTTGAAGTAGTTTAATTTAAAAATTAGAACTGTTTCTAGCAAATGTGTTTTTAGCAAAATGGAACACACATTGAATGTAGGCAATCTATAGCACTTGAATCTCATTATTCATCAAGGTAATATAATTTATTTTCTTAGATAACCTACAGTTGACCGATTCAAGTGCAGAGAGTGAGGTCGATGCTGAGAGAGAGGTCGATGAAGGAAATCTCTCATATCCACAGACTGGTAAGTAGTGTGATTTTTCTTGAATTTGTTTTATTTATGAAATCACATGACTAATGTTAAACTTTATTACAGATTCTGCAGAGATGAAAAGAATGACGAAACCTGTTGAGGAAGCTCCAGGCATGTATTTATTGTCACCAGATGGTTAGACTTTTAACAGTGTAACTACAAATTTCTCTAAGGCTAAGAGAAAATGTTCAGTTGTTTGATCTGACACTAACTCAGAATACATTGCCAGAGTGTCAGTGTGAAAGGTGCGTTGAAGGCTTTGGTAGGCTGACCACTGGATTTGACATACATGGGCCCTTCATATCTATCCATGTCACTTCAAAGGGAGGGGACCAGAGTGGTGGGCTGATCTACTACAGAATTTATTATTTGATGGAATGTCTCTTTGTTAGTTACCTGGTTTGCTCAGCTGGAGTGCTCTCTTTGCTCTCAACCTCGTTTTGCAGAAACTGGATGAGCTGGTCAACTTTCCACTCACTACTGGAATCTTATTTAAGCGCATAAGTCAGCTCCATGTCTTTTGGTATAAGCTGTAGTAGCACTGGACATAGCACGCATCCATATGTGTCACCATGAACTATGACCATGAAGTCCAGGCTGCAAATCTGGATTTCACCTTACAAAAACTAAATTCATGGTTTAAAGGGTCCATTAGTTGCTTGACCCCAAAAAGGAACATCTTCTACTTCACAGTATTTGAGAAACCTACCTACAACAAATAAATGCTTACAGTGACAATTGTTTTTTTTTTTTTAAATCTTTTCTTTCTTCTTTTCAGCACAAAGTGAAAATGCAGATGGTAAGGGCAAAGAACCCAGCAGAAAACAAAAGAAGGAAAAAGAGCCCAGCAGAAAAAAAGAAAATAATAAACAATCTGTTAAATGCTGCTACACATACACAGAAGTCACTAAACACCAAGTTACTTAAGCATGACAGCATAACTGAAGCGTGGTCAAAAGAAATTATCCACACCACCCAAAGGCAATATGGTGACCATTCTCATCTTTCTGCAGGACACTGTAATCCTACAACTCAGTTAGCCAATTATATCAACTGACTTAATTAGATAAAATACCATGTACATACCATGAAGAACTGTACCTTGTATTAAAATGATTTTTTTCCTAAACTATCAATGTTCAGATGCTAGAAAATAGGTGTAATTTAGTTATCAGTGATGGGACAAATGTTTAAACTATTTTCTCTATGCCTATTTTAATCTGTTTCGTAATGCATTCACATAGTTAGCTTTTTCAAATTAGCAAAGCATCAAAAAAACTTTAATGAACAACCCAATGAGAATATATTTTTCGAATTCGACTATTAAGTTTGATTTAGTAACTGAGGGTTCTCAACCACTGGGCCTCAGCATCTTCTTCACGCTTAGACCACAATCCATCTGTCTGCCTGTCAGTCTGTCTATCTGCCTGTCTGTCTGGGTCAGTCTGTTCGTCTGTTTGCCTGTCTGCTTGTCTGTCTCAGTCATTTATCATGCCAGGGGGGTAGATCCGAAAGAAGTGCACCTTTTGTGAGGCTGACATTCCAATCTAGGAAGCAGTAACAACAGTTGCACGGATATAGATTTAGTTCTGTATTATGGTAAAATTTCATCTTCATCAAAATTAATAGATTGCCATCCAGCATGAGAAGGTCGCAAATGTAATGTTTGTCTGATGTTTCTTTCTTCAGATTGGACTAAGTCACAAAATTGTGTAAAATGTCTGAATGTTTGATGGAGCCACAGTGCCACCTTTTGGTAAGATTCTGGTATAGCGTAAGGTATTTTCAAAACCGACTTTGTTTTATAATTGTGTAGTATTCCAAATAGTAAATGCCTGACACCTAATTGTTATAACAAGGATTAAGCTAGCACTATATGAAATATGTACAATCCATTAGTGTTGCTTCATATGCATGTTTGTGACATTTTAACTAGTTCTGCTTTTATTTTTACATCAAGTAATTTTGGTTATGTTGGGTTAAAACATGTAAACTATGTATTAAGTCATGGGGGGGTTCTGTGAATGGTGAATTATGATTTTGAAACTTTAAAACACAACAGAAGTAAGTTAATAAGGTTACGAATATCAAAATATCGCTAAAGGAAGTGACGCGATTAGCCTTTCCGGATACACCTCCAGACTAAAACATATATATGATATAGACTCCGGTCTTCTTCCCTCCCTTACTTTTTACACTTCCAAAACTCTCTTCTTAAACATTCGTTATTTACTCTCGTTCTACTTTTAATTTCCGTACTTTACTTCGTTTGAGACACATGTTGAATTTTCCTCACGTAATAGTTTGCAGTGCTGAAGTACTTTTTAGTACTTTTATTTTGAAGGCTCAAGACACGAACAAAGTTAATTCTTTTTATACGTTTTTTTTTTGTTTATATATATTGTCAAGTATTGTCGCCTTATTCACAGAAAGTGAATTTAGTTTAATTCTTGGATCCACTGACTACAGAGGATTCGCCAGGCCAGCGTTTCGTCCTACAGTTATTTTAGACAAGAAGTCCGATTAGTTCATAAACAAAGCCGAAGACCAACCACTCTGAGGAACTTTTCTTAAGACATTTATCATAAGCCAGAAGGACATCACAGTGGTTCACCGCTCAAGGAGACGTATAAACGTTTTAGCCGGACAAAGACATTATTCTTCAGACTATCTGCCTCCAACACACTCAAAGCGTCCAAGCTGCACTGGGCCTTGGACTGAAGAGCTAATTGGTATCGGTGACGACACATTCTTCGACCTGTGATTCTGAACAGCAGCCGAGCAGTACCAGCCAGAGGAGAAAGATCCTGAAGTCCCTCCATCTCTACAAAAGTAGGCTGAAACCCACATACATTGCCGGGGTCCCACACACTTCCCAAGAGTAGGTGTCTGTCTGTGAGCTTTGATTCCCATAGTTTAAGCTTAAGAGTTTTCCATTAGGGCCTCGTAGTTTTAAAAGTTACTCCCGTAATATTTTAAAGCTACTGCCGTATCGCAAAATCCACCATCGCTCCTGAATCACCCAATATTAATAATTCATTTACTGTCCACATATTCTGTTACTTGTTATTTGTTGACATTATCATTTCATGCTATTTACTCTTCATTAATTTAGTTAATAAACATATATAACCGTATGTCCTTGTCGGTGCAGTTTTGATTTGATGCGGGGAAATCGATGAATCGTGTAAAAGTAATCACTACTTCAGAAATGTGAGATTGAATATAGATTTTGAAATTTAATAAATTGATTTGAAATTGATTTGATTAGATCTGTGGAATAATTTCCTCCGGATTACTCCAGTAGCTAAACAACGGAGGTGGTGCCCCATTTACGAGTGTATTATTAATCATCAGTGATAAATTACTTTTCTAATTAAATAGTAGTGTAACTCCTACACTTCTCCATTTACTGCAGAGCAGAGGGACTGGGAGACCCACGTCAATGACCAAACACTCTAAATCACTGATGACTGTAGGACTACAGAATTATTTAACACTTATATTAACAAAATATATCACTTATTTCTGCTTTAAGTCATTTTTCCTGCTTCTTCTTGTCCCATGTTGGAGAACAAACATATCCTACCACCAGTAGTCTAATTTTTTTCACTGTTGCTTCAGTTGAAGTGACCCATATGTTTATGCATAATTGATTTACTTCAGAGTGTGTTTAAGACTTTGTTTTAATTGTGTTGTGTTGATGTGTGCTTGACTCATGTTTTAAAGGTTTAAGTTCATTGAAAAGACTCGACAAGTACCAGTAACAGACAAAAATCCCTTCTGTTTTCAGTGGTAAGGAGTGGGCCCATTCCTGGCAACCGAAGGATTTTCTTCAATGAATTAATTCATAGTTTTTAGTTTTTTTGTACTTTATATTGTTTGCTAATATAAGTGACATATTATTTGATGCATCATCTTATTTGAAAACACAATGTGATAGTGTTAGTCGATGAAAGGTAATAGCTAAAGAACATGAGGAAAATAACCATAAATGCAGCATGATTATACTTGCAATTTATCTTTTATTTATTTGCAATCACATCGCATTATTTCACTTGCTTAAGTGGATTACTTTAATGAATCAACTTCCGTTATTTCTTTCACCCAAATCATACAGTATACCGTATACTGTACTACAGTATGTTTACATTTTGTATACATCAAAGTGGACTACATATTTGTGGTAGATTATTTGTTTTAGCTTTTTAAAAATATATGTAATTTTTTTTATGTAACATTATTTGAATGTTGCTAATGATTATGTCATTGCTACATGCAAAGGGCCACTAGTTTCATCTACAGCAGTGGTACACTTCATTCAGGTTTGCCAATATCTTTATACAGAGAACTAAATGTATCAGCATTTCTGAAAAGTGTACTTGTGTATTGACGGAATATACAGTACATACTGCTCTACGGAGTTGTAAAATTAGTAGCTTTTAATCCAATCCAATAATTATTTTCCTAATACATAACAAATTGTCTGACTGCCCTCAGTTTACTTATGTGCATTTGCCTCGATAAGCCCATCTTGATTTGTCCATCAGTATTTGGAGGTTAGGATACATTGATACGGTAGCATGATTGACTGTTCCCTGGCCTGAGAAAGGTCAGAGCAACTATCTACAGTGATCTGACCTCACCAACACAACCAAAGCAAGACTGAAACAAAAAGAAAAGAAAAAAGGCTTCTGGACACGAAAGAGTTTCTCAGGCTGAATACAACACATGACTCCAAGCCTGGAGAAAAGGAAGGTGAACAGAAAAATTTTGTGATATTGTAAAATATTAGGACAAAGTACACCTTTGATTTTAAGAACGTAACCATTGAGATTCAGTCATTTTTTTTTTTAGCTTCAGCTGTCATCGGGTTCATGTTTAGAGATATATCTATACGTGAAACTATACACACAGGTTTTAGGACGATGTCATCCGGACAATATAGGACCATTCTGGATGGTTTGAGGAGAGATTAAAGTTGCAGTGTCCTATGAAGTACTTTATATGTCGCCCTCCGCACAACATGTTAGGCCTATGCTGACTTTTTTTTGATAAAAAGGTCCTATGATGGTCATTTTATAAGATATGTTTGCAAAACTTAAGCTGTACACAGAAATGTATTAGCACTACGGTATATTATAAATTGGATCATCCAGGATGATCCTGTCAGACTTGGGAAGGGGGTTAAAGGGTCTATAAATAGCCATATTAAGTTAATGGGAAAATGCCAAAGGTGAAACAATCAGCAGTTTAAGGGGAAAATAAACTCGGAACTGGTCCACATTGAAAAGTATGACTGTGTATAATCCTATAATCGATATCTTAAATAAATCTGGCCTCAAAATACCCATTAAAAGATTCTGAGTGATTGTTTCCAGCTCGGCCCTTAAAGGGGACATATTATGCAAAACCAACTTTTTAATCATTTTATTATGTACATTTGGGACTCTGGAGGGCCTATTAGCAGGCAAAGTATGAAAAAAATGACTCAGTCATGTTTTTGTGGGCTGCCTCAGTCAGAATATAGGAGAGCAATCACAAAGCTTCAGAAGTGTGTAGTTTGTGACGTCACATGCCCTGCCTGTTGCCACCCACCTCTCTTTACTTCCTGTTGACTATCGGAGCTCCGCCATTGCTACTATAAAAGGCAAGCTAGCGGAGAACAAGCAAGTCCAGCCAGCAGCCTAATGACTGGGCAAAGGCCTCAGCAGACAAGCTGTTCAGTCATTGGCTGCACAGCCCAACACAAATTTACATATGTAAATGTATGTAAATAATTTTTTACGGCAATGTCCGGCTAGAGTCACAAAAACGGGAATGTGTGTGTGAACTTTCGTGTTGGACTGTTTTCACAACCTCGGTCAGTACAACAGTGGACTGACTGAAAGACTGTTCCTGAAAGAGGGATTGTACCAACTGTCTGTGGAGAGACAGCAGAGGAAGTCACTGTAAGTATTTTTAAGAATTTATACTTTGTTTTTCATTGTTCGTGCAATGCTAGCACATGCTAACCGTTGTTAGCTGCAGGAGCCTCAGTGATGCTAACGTAGTTATTGTTTGTTAAATGTTAAAAGATGAACATGAAACTTATAAGGTGAAGTTAATGTATTAACCAGCTGGTGCAGATGTCTCCATATTCTCCCCTGCTGATATTTTTATAGAGATTCACACGAAGTTTATTATAAGTTTATACCGAGAATCACCAAGCTTCGAGGGGAGAGGGGGGCTCTGTAACTCTGTTACTGTTGTGGGTTTTGTGTCCGGGGGGTAATTGGCTTTATGTTGGTCTGTATGTAGTTAAACGTGCTCAGTCAGTAATATGTTTGTGTGGCTGTTAGAAAGAGCAGAAAACAAACTGTAGCTGCTCATCAGCTGTTAGCTCTCTGAGCTAGCGCTAGCTTTTGTTATTCCGGAGCCATTGTCCTGCTCCGCTCAGGGTGTGTGTGTGTGTGTGTGTGTGTGTGTGTGTGTGTGTGTGTGTGTGTGTAAATGTACCGGAGGTAAAGCTAGAGCTACCGTGAAAGAGAAATAGTCAAACTGTGATCAAGCCTCCTTAGAAGCTAACAAAATACAGGGAGTGAGTGATGGTGATTATTGTGTAACTTTATACTGACGTGCTAACGTTATCTCAGCTAACGCTAGCTTTGTTGTTTCTCTGCTTCGTTCAGGTGTGTGTGTGTGCGTGTGTTACGTGTGTAAATTAACTTGATCAACGTGCACCAGAGTTAACAATAGAGCTACTGTAGAGAGAAATAGTCAAACTGCAGGGATTCATTAGTTTAGTATTACTGTGTAACTTTGATTAGCACCCGGCAGCTGGGGTTGCTCACTAGGCTTTTTGTGGAGTCAAACCGCGACAAATAAAAGTTAAATATTTAGCTGAAGTACTGAAGTACTGCTATTACTGACGATATAAGTGTAGGTCCAGTGTAACATACTCATATAATCTCCTATTGTATTATAAACACTGAGGCTCACTGCTAAATGTCTGTTATTGAACCGGGAACTTGTTACAACATCAGTTACAGTCAGTAAATGTCCTGTGTGTGTATCTGCTGCCATTAGATAGACATTGTGTTGGTAACCTCAGACTGTTTCAACAACACATCACTACACAGTTAGCTGCAACAAGGAACTCCACCAGAGACACTGCTTATTATTTTATTTTATAACTTAGGACTACTGTGAGCCACAATGAGCTGTTGTACTTTTATTATATTATACTGTATTGTACTGTATATTATGTGCTGCCTTACAAGTAACACTGAATCTTCCATGTTTTACAGGTGACCTGATGAAGCTCAGGTGTTCCTGGACCCATCAGAGGACAGAGACAGCTGCAGCATCAGGACAGTCTGGGTATCCAAAGGAAGACTCAACAAGATGAACACTGACCGCAGAGCTCCATTACCAGCTCACACTTCAGTATACTAGAAACCATAAACCTTGATGGAGGACATGATCTGCACAGTTTACATAAAAGTTATAGCTTTGTTACTTACAACATGTGTAACTGGAATATGAATGAAATATAAATAAAGTGTTTTACTTTTAAGAAGAGTTTTGGTCATTTTTAAATTCAGTAATAAGTGTGGTTTTATATAAGTAACATGTTATTTCAGGTTTTATGAGAGATTTCCTGGATGTACAGACTTGAAAACCTGATTAGTGTAACATCTATCAGCATGAAAATGTGGAACTTAAACCTGTATTAATGACTGTAAGCAACACACCACATTACTCTCTCACATTCAAACTTTATTACATTGGAAGATAAATGACATCATAATACAGTATATAATATAAATGATAGAATATTCATTATACAGTATTTTTAATGGGGTTCAAACATAATTGCAGCTTTACACATATCTGAAGGTGAACTTAAAGGGTTAAAAAGTATTATTACTTAGCGCCAAAGTCGCAAAATTGCGACCAGGAGCGCAGTACTGAATCAAACAGCTGTTTTCTCCTAATAGAGTGTTATATCTCATTCATACTCCCCTTCACTAGTTGGCAGACATCCCATACTTAGACCTTAGCTCAGAAAAACATCATGTTTCAATGCAAAATGTTCGAGGAAGACCCGTCCAAACTGTTGGGCGAGAAACCGGAAATATTGCGCCACGGCGCTATTTATGCTGAAGCGGTATTGCTGGATTTAGGAGTTGTTGAGACCAAATAAACGGAAAATGACAAGCTAAAAAGTTTATGATTAGGAAGTGATGGGTCTCCCAATCGCTGACCCTTGATTCTGAAGGGGAAAATCTACCTTTGGGAGATGGCGCGCCGGTCGTTTAGTGAGCCCGTGATAGTGCAACGGTGCGTCTTTGCACCGGCGCTGCCGAGCAGAGCGAGGAGAACACACAAGCACAAACACATGACCCTTTGCCCAACATAGGTGGGAGTACTACACAAACTCGTAGTATCAGTAAGGGAGCTAATGGATGTGGTAGAAGTAGTGGGGTGGTGAGAATAATGCTGGGACCAGCGTTGGTGTTCACTCTTTCTACCGCGCCAGTCACAGGTGCGTCCATGCGCGGCAGTGGCGCAGCCACCCCGTGCGGATGTGTACCTGTCCATTTGTTAGGCTATGTGGTGGGGTCTCAATATTGTTCATATTGTCTCTGTACTGTGCCTTGCAATGAGAGGTTCCACACTCTCTACAAATACTACAAACTTTTATCTGGATAGATCAGATTAGACCTCTGCAGCTAAAAGACGCCTACTGTTATTATTATTATCATGTTATAATAATAGTGACGATAATAATAATAATAATAATAATAATGAAGAGAATAAAAAGAAAGAAAAGTATCACTCCAATGGGGGGTGTAGTGGGTAAAAAATCATAAAAACGCCTACTGTTTACATGAGTTTTGTGAAAGTAGTAATAGTTCTAGTTTATGACTGTTGGCTTACAATTTACTTTTCCCCTATTCATTTGATATGTGGACAACATAACAAATAGATGAAGGGGGTGAATCTGATGAAATAAGTTCCAACTCTCTTTCAAAATATCAGGTATTTCCGATGAAAATTATATAGTGGCCGTCGCCATATGACGTCATAATACCAAATTAGATGGGAAAATTTTCTCCCTAGATAAACTTTAGGTCATTCTCAATATTTGTCTCATCTACACTTTGTCTCTATCTCAAACCACTTTCAAGCCAGAGCCTTCTGAAATTTGGATGTCGAAAATCTAGTATTTTTCTAAATAAAACCAGGCGCCCTAAGGGTTAAGTTAAAATATCAGACTGAAATACATGGATACAATTACAGTTAACAGTTGGTAA